AGTCGTATGCAGTGTCGTTTTCCTCCAATCGTTAGCCACGCCACGCAATTTCCACGTCCAGTCGTCTGTAGGATGCCATGATTCGCGGTGTGCACAGGAACAGTATCCGCAGTGGAGTACGTATGAAAATACCGCTTGTCTTTCACCAGGGTGACTGTGGTTCCAGAGTCGAAAATTGTGGTGAAAGGAAGGTTGACAGCACACGATATATCATCGGGAAGATCTGTGATGGACGCGAACGACATATCGTCGAAGAGACTGGTGATGGCAGCAGCGGTGACAGCAGATGGTGGCAAGGTGGCGACACTGGGAGTGGCAGTGGTGGTGACAACAGCGGCAACTGCAGACTCTTTCTCCCGTTTCTTGTTCCGCATCCATGGAGCCTGACCTTCCATGCCCCCACCTTTGCCGTAGCAATGGGCGTGGTCATGGTCACCTTTATTGCACCCGGGCGTCATGCAAAACACTCCGAGTGGGTTGTGTTTGTGAATGCGCAACCCAGTGATTGAGTTGGTGCCGTTCCCAGTAGGTGCACTAGCCACATTCGCGTACTCCGATCCAGGACGTGAAGAGTGAACGTGCTGGGTGACAACGTGTCGTGCGGCCTCAGATGTAATACGGGAGACACAACTCTCGAAGGTGAATGTTGGTGTAGAGGTCGGAGACATGGATTCGTCGTGCATGCGTTGTTCAAGCAGCGCCTTGAACTGTTGCCAGAGGGGTGTCTGAGGAAGACCCATAAGCATGTGGTATATGGCATCAGTCTCGCCCCATGGTGCACCAGCGTCAGATAGACGTTCGCGAAAGACGGTGTGCTGTGAGACGTAGGAGGTGGCATCTGCAGAGTCTTTCATGCGGAGCGCTTGAACTTGTTGTCTAAGCAAGTACTGCGCGCTCATGTCAGTGCGGTTGAAGTGCTCCTGCAGTATTTGCCAAGATTTGCGTGCTGTGACTGTATGCGACCGAGGGATGAGGGATTGGACGGACGAACTCAGTCGTCGAGTGATGAGCTCCTTGGCTTTCATATCCTTGAGTAGCCATTCACGCATTTTCGCTGTTTCAGCTTCCGTGATAGCATTTACGTCGGCAGCTGTAGGAATGTAAGAGGGAAAACCGAGAAGATCCCCAGGTTCGGACTTCGTGTTGATATGGCACCAGTAATCCTCGCACGCGAGCGCGTACTGCATCTTGGTAGCCCAACCGACGTAGTTTTCCGTACCGAGCAGCTCGGGAATGTGATCATGTTTACCCATGACGATACCGTCGTTGAGTAAATTATGTTTAGCGAGCGGCGTGCAGCGCGAGAGCAAGTTATGTGTTGAGTTTCCGGTTTGTGGCTTATATTAAGCCAGGGCTCATAACCTGTAGAAACTGACACAATGCTCAGTGTTATGGATAAACCGCTTGTTATTAAGTAGTACCTGACACAATGCTATAGACGAAATAAAGTGAGAATGATGCGGCGTGCACGACAGAAATCAAACATACCTCAGCGTTATGGATAAACCGCTGAGGTACAAACAACGAGAAACAACAGAGATAAAAGGTGTCTAATGGGTCCGTGATGCGATGACTAATACGTGCGGAGGTTGTCGATGTTGTCATCCAACAAGTTTTGCATGCTGGCGGGGGTTAATGCCAACGCTACAGGAGGATTCCAACCACTAGGGCGTCAAGTCACACGCTTACCCCTTTCTCAGGCTATAGCTATAATTGCCGCGATGCCTTGAGCTCGTACTTCCGAGATGACCACGACCTTTACTAGTACTAGTACTAAAACATAAACTCGAGTCCTAATATTTTCCAGCAAAGTCAGTTAGTGTCGTAGCACTAATCACAGCACGCTCTCTCTCCTTTAATGGGGGGTTCTGCAGTTAGTGCTGCCACTATGTGCTTGCTTATTTTTGGTGAGTTTTGCTCAATCACCAGATGCCAATGTTGTCAGGCTGTCCGGTGCATACTTAAGCAGCTTAACCTGCCAATTTTTGTTGTGAGTAGATGTGCATTGAATCAATCAGTGCTGCGATGAGTCTCATGTGCTTGCAAGCCTTGCAGCGCTTATTTTGACGAATTGAAAGCACCCTGAAGAGGATCCACTATTGCAGAAGAAGGCACCCGCTGCCCACGCCAAGTGCCTCTATGCACAAAAATCCAATATCAAACAGGCGAAAGATACCAATGCTGATCTACCCGAGCTCTAGGATGGCTGGCCTGATGGAAGTTATGGCTGCCTGTTTTCTTGGGAAGAAGCCTATCGGACAGATTTCTTGATGGAATACTGGGCCAACAGCAAGCGAGGAGGCGATATGGGACGATGCCCTGCCAAAATGGTTTTCGAACACGGCGTTAGTACGTGTCTTGGAATCATCATTTGCGACTCGCCAAATTATCACGCGCCTTGTCACACGCAAAGACACGCTCGTCATTCAACTCCATGTGTCCTGCAGACTGCAGTGACTACTGAGGAAAGCTGGCTCATCAGAAATGTTCTGATAAAGTCACATCCATCCTCCACCAATTTCGTGGAGGCGTCGTCTTGAGATTATGACCGCGACTGCGCAGTCCCTCGTGAACGGGAAGGTGAAATCGCATTATGAGGGAATCGGACTAGCTACAATGACAAAACACCGGCGACGAAGACGATTGTTGCACAAGCAGTAACAATGTGTGAATCTTGGTATGATGGCGCGGCCATAGTATCCTGACTTTGTGAGCGACTCCATGGCTCGTTTTGAGGACACCGAGAGGTCCAAGTGGCTAGTGGATGCGCACTAAGTAAGCGTTTGTGAGCACGCGGCAGTGGCGCAGCATTTTCCTAGTGCCTGTCCATATCAATATTGTCCTGAATAGGCCGCTCTTCAAAGGAGTCTTCTGCGTGCACACAAGGAGCATGATATCAATCGGAACGCTCACGAGTTCATTGTCATAATTACCATCATACACAGCGATCCACTCCGTAGGCACCGAGCCCGCCCTTAGAGATTGAAATAGTCTAAGGTGGGGATGGCCGTCCAAGCGGAAATGCGTTCGTGCGCTCCGAGTTGTATCTTGGCCTTGAGCTCTTAGCCACAGTTGTCACTGTACCTTCTGGGAAGTACTGCTCCGCAAACTGGATAAGCCATTCCATTCAGAAGAGACTGCAAATCCATCATGATAGAACTGAACATGACACGGAGGCTGCCTTTTCAGACGGACAAGTTTGAACGCACGGATCGACCATAATATAGAAAGAACGACTGTCTTCCACGGGGTCGACGTCTGATGGAGTTACTGGCCGGGTCTGCTGCCAAGCCACGATCTTTGACTGTTAGAAATAGAAACTGAATATAAACAAATAGATCTACCTTTGGATTCAAACAATTTCGAGAGAAGAGAAGACGTGGTGCGGCCAGTGGAGAGGTAAAGTGAGTTGCCAACAAGTCCCGGGCGTGTTATTCAATGTGGAGGAGAGATAGCTTTTCCTTATATTGAAAGTCAAGCCACAGCGCGCTGATACCATAGCTACTACAGTACACTATGTCATAATGTATACGTTAGTAATGTATAAATCTCATATTGTATCGAGTTTTGGCAGCTCCCATCGTGGTATGCGGGTAGACGCCCAAAAAATTGTATATTGTATAATGTATAGCCTTTGGAGGTCCAATATACACTATGAGATATGGTTTGTACCGAGTAGGACTACTGTTGAGTTGCCGGAAGTTGATGCATAACAACGTTGTAAGATAAAAAAAAACTTATAGTCATTCTTAGAAGTCCCAATCATGATGCGTGCGCAGCCCTAAGAAACGCCAGCCACGTCCAAATCCCGCCCCATACAAGCGGAAACCAAAGACACCTCGTCAGAAAGATGGTCCTGCAACATCTACAAAGCTTTAGCGGGCGGAAGAATCTTACTTTGAACGACTGGCTGGTGGTGTTTGCACACGTTGATGAACAGTAAACCATAATCTGAACAAAAATCTTCGCTATTCACATCCTACGAACTCTGCCCGTTGTATATAGCATTACTAACTACGTACTTTCCCCGCCATGTTCCTCCATTAAACGAATTTTTGGACGCTACCTTTCGCAGAAGTCAAGCGCGCATCGACACCCCCAATCTTGGTTGACCCCCCCACCGTGGGAAATATTTGGTAGTGTATATTTCTCATATTGTATAGCGAAAAGGCTGCTCCCGACGTCGCTATACATTATGAGATAATGTACTGTATCATTCCCTATAACATGCAAAATTTTCAGCAAAACTTTTGTAGCTCCTCAGCAACATCACATTTTCTTTCGCAAATTTGCTCCGTCATAGATTTGTATCTCCTCTACATGGATCTGATTTTTACTGATTTTTAGGATGATGTGGTGTGATGTCGGAACAAACCCGATAAAACTCAGGGTCTACTCTCTAATCTGCAACATTTTGTCACGTCCTGTCACACCTCGGCACAGTAGCCGCACAGTCGACTTTCGCTCTCCGCAGGATGCTGGCATCGGGTAATACGGGGGGGAATACCTGTATGCCGAGGAGGAGTTTGAATTACTTACACATCTCCCCTGTCCTGTGTCACGCTATTGTACTTGTCGTTGATTCTACCACTGTAGCACCTCAGCGCAAGAGAGTAGCCTTTATCGAATTGGTTTTCTGACATCCCTAGAAGGTGTTCATTGTGCTCTAGGTAAAATTTTACAAATACCTTTGCAGGATCTTCGGGATCTGGATGATTTGTGTTGGGAGAAGGTTTCAAAACACCACTATTTCATCTCTCGCAGCTGCAATATTCCAAAATCTTTTATTCTACTTTTACAAAACATCACTTATAGGTACTCTGCGCATCCTTGAATTTTTTCAATGTCACTTAAGCACGATGTTGAAGTGCTATGAACTTTTTGCATATTAGTAACCGTGGACATATTACAGGGAATGATAGTACCATGAACTAAACGTCAATCCCGTACCCAAGAACCTGTCCAAACCTTAGTAACCATGAAGTTCAGCAAGTGCCAAGAACAGTCAACAATTACATCTATTCATCGAGTTAGAACAAAGTAAGTTATTCGTATCCTTCGCTACTCAGTGAGATCCGAGATACCCCGCACCATCAATAAAAAAACATACCGTATGTACTATACCCCATACCATAACAATGTGCATGAAACGAAAACGAAAAAAAGCGAATAGTCGAGCAAGTATGCACGACAACGGACGAATGAAGGTCCAGATTCCAAAGTACCGATAAACCAACCCCGTCCCGCACGTGTGTCTATCGATGCAAACAATTAGAATTAAGAAGAGGAAGAGGGAAGTCTTATTATAGCGTCAAGCGCCCCATTGCGCCCACGCGCCAGGCAACCCGCGGCGGCGCTTCATTCCCGCACGCGTACGAGTACTAGTGCCAGAACCAGTCTCAGACGCTGAGAACGCGCCGTTTCCATACCCGTCCCCTTCGTCGTCTTCTTCGCCTACGACCCACCGGCGGCCTCTACCTGTACCCCAGGAGTCGTCTAGCCAGATGTGTTGTCTTGAGTCTGGCGCGAAAGGACTTAGTTGGCCATTGATAATACTGGTACTGGCGGTGGTGATGCTGGGTGATGTTGGTGGTAAGCCCCGGAGGCTGCCTGTTGTGGTGGGTGGGTGGAGGTGTTTCCGGAGACTGCGGATGGAGGCCTGGCGTCTGGCTGGCACGAGTAAACGTTCTAGGTCTAGTTCTCCTTCGTCTTCTTCTTCGTCGTCGTCCATATCTTCGGAAGATGAGGACGAGGAGGATGGTCCCTCCTGTCTATGGCTGGCGGGGAGGTACCTGCTCATGCTCCATTCGTCATTCTCGACCCTGGTACGGGCTAATGAAGGAACCATGTCTGATTCCTTGCGCTTCCCCTTTCCTTTCCTCGATTCTTCGTCCCGCTTGTTCTTTCTCCGTCGCTCATCATCACGTCTATGTCCCGATCCCTCGTCCTCCGCGCCGGTTCTACGCACCCTCGATCCCGCACGCGAAGCAGGCGCAGACCTGCACATCACGTTCGTCTGGCTCACCTTCCCCTCGATCCTATTCGCGCGCTGATCCCGCACCTGTGCGCACAGCAATGGTGGCCGTCTCTGTTCCCTAGGTTTATTCGTCGCATCTGAAAACGTCGAGCTCGTCTTTCGTGTGGACGCAGTATCAGGAACGACGCCCGAAAGAAGGGCTTTGGCGACTGATTCCATCCAGTTACTAGGGAGCGGAGGAGGGTCATCTGTCTCGATGATGTCGTCTGCGGAGAGGAGCAGGGAGCGACGTGAAGGGCGGGGGCGGGGTTGGGGATTGCGATGTGAGCGGAGAGAGACGTTTGATGAAGAGGGTCGTTTAGCGAGGGGTTGGATGTTTGGTGCTGATGCCATGTGTCGAAGGTATGCGTGGGCGTTCGGAGCGTCTCGGGAGAAGTTGGATGAGGATTGATGGCGCATGTAGTGGGAATTCGGTGGGCGAGGTTGGCCATGGGTTTCAGGGAATACGTTGCGTCGTGCGTGGGTGGCGTGAAAGCGAGAATGCTTGCGAAGGCTCTCCGGGGATGTATTGAAGGAATAGGATGATGCGGATTGGGATGTGGAAGAAGATGGGTGGAGACCCTGGATGTGTGCAAGCGGTGATGGTGGTTGAGACCGAGGAGAGAGTGAATCTTTGTTGGAAATCGGTTCCCGTGCCATACTCGAATTACGGCTTACGAGGCCGGCGAGGAAACCGACGACTGCACCGACGCCACCACGCACACTACTTGCGTGTCTGTCGGTTGTATGATCATTGTGCCGCTCTGACTCTGGTGTAAAGACGCGAGTTTCTTTGTAACCAGCCTCACGAAGAAGATCTTCGAGGCGCTCGTATGTCTTGGAGGTTCCACGGCGATGCAATGGAACGCGAGCTAGCGAGTCGGGGTAACGTGTACGACCTCTTGGAGGTGTAGAAGGCGGTGTAGTGTGTGGCACTGGTGATGATAGCTCGGAGTCATCTTGTGAAGTGGACGCGTTTGTCTGCAATTGAGAATGAGCTTGGCTTCCACGATAATCAGACCACGCACAGAATCGCAGGTCTCGACTACGTTTGAAGCATGCATGAAAGAGACTTGTCCTCTGGATGACTCCTCTTTATACTACACAGGTTGTACCCAATGTACTGAGGATATCGATGAAGGAGTAATGGGACGTGCAATTTGCTTGTCACAAGCCACATCACAGCAATTTCAAACAAATCAGTGCGGCATGCGGCGCTAATCATTTTGCCTCATCGCTTCATCCGTTGATGTCTGTGCTCCACTAACGTTTTAAGATGGGCGGCTATTGCTGTGGTTGCGATGGCGTATTTAACTTCACGCTCGGCGACACTCATACTAGAACTTGATAGGAAAAGCCCATTGATGCACTCAGACCAGTCACACGTAAGAATATGCATGCATGTTCATGTCATAAATGTGCTTGAGGATACATAGCAGTGGAAAACAAAATATGAAACGACTCCCGAGGCGCTTACTACAGTACCCATCAGCTCCAAGAACCCTAAGAGAAGCGCAGTAACGTACGAATTGGAGCGCAGCACCCTTTGTCTTTTTCTCACCACCGAGCTCGAAGCTTCAGAACACATCAGGTCCGTACGTGCCATGAATAGAACAAAGACGTACTGCTTGCAACGCTTCAACGAAAGCTGCATCTTGTACTTGCACACAGTGCACTCCAACCGTAGAACGACCTTCTTTGTCGTCTTTGCCTAATCCCAACAGCCAATGAGTTGAATCCCATGGTTTCGTACCACAAAACGAACCTTCTTGTGGAAGACTGGCTTAGTTTGACCACCGTACCCTGATTGCTTACGATCGTAACGACGCTTTCCTTGGGCGAATAGCGAATCTTTGCCCTTTTTGTACTGCGTCACTTTATGAGGCCTGCATAGCGTTCTCAGCGGTCTTGATATCATAAATGCAAATCATGAACGTACGTGTGCTTCTTGCACGTCTTGCCCTTGCAGTCTACATGCAACCGTTCGGGTGTCCGAATACATGACAATAACAGAGGTTACTCACAAGTCCGGCGAGTCCTTTTAGCAGCAATTCGTCAGTAATTTACACGCTAGTGAATTGGATTGGCAACATACTTGGGGATGTTGACCATGGTTGTCGGCGTCGGCGATGTCTTGGGCTTGAGGTCGACGATAGTATAGTGTAGATTTCCGTGTACGGCAATCGCCGGTGCTATGCAGTTCCTACATTTAAAGTTCAGGAGAATCCCGAAAGTTAATGGAACGTGATTCAACGCGTCATGATGACCTCACGCGTCTGGAAACCATGATGACATTGGTGCCAACCATGGTATATAAGTAACCTGCAATATTTGCTCTTCTGTTTCACGCACCAATCGTTATGACAGAGCAAGTATTTCGCCTTATTCCTGCAACGCAAAGCTACCCATGGGGAAAGAAAGGGAGCAATTCCCTGGTAGCTCAGCTCGCTGACGGTGCAGGCATACCAGATTTCAAAATAGATGAATCAAAACCCTACGCAGAGGTGCGTGAAATTGCGAAGAAAGCGCACAAGCTGATATTCAGCAGTTGTGGATGGGAACTCACCCCAACGCCCCAACGCGAGTCCTTTCGACCGGACACCTGCTTTCAGAGCATCTCGTTGCTCACCCAGAACTCGTCGGGGAATCTGTCATCAAGAGATTCGGTTTGGAAAACGGACAACTTCCATTCCTGTTCAAAGTCTTGTCCTTCGACAAGGCGCTTCCCGTGCAGATTCATCCTGATAAGCAGACTGCGGAGCACATACATTTAGAGAACCCCAGGGCGTACGTAGGTAAGTGCTCGTCATTCTACGAAAAATATTATGCAACAAGTAGATGCAGACTCAAATCATAAACCAGAGATGGTTCTAGCGCTCTCAGAATTCACCGCCCTGTGCGGCTTCCTCCCTACATTCCAAGTCTCTGAGTTCCTCTCTGTCGTACCAGAGTTCGCTTCCCTCTTCCCAAGCGATATTGTACAGAACTTAAAGTCAGTGGCGCGTTCGCCCGACGAATCAGAACGCAAAACAGCTCTCAAAGAACTTTTATCGTCCTACGCAAATGTAGATAACGAAAAGGCTTCGGTACAGCTCAAGCTTCTCGTAGAGAGGTATCGAGCCGGACAGGAATCAGACGAAGAAAAGACAGTAAAATCCCTCGTTTTACAGCTGCATGACATGTACCAAGACGACAGCGGCGTCTTCTGCGCCTTCATACTCAACTACTTCAATTTAAAGCCTGGACATGCCTTCTCCGTCGCTACAGGCGAGCCCCACGCATACATCACAGGAGGTAAGAGATCTCTCTCACGTCCTCTTAACCGCACCAATAAATTGTTCTCTTTCAGACATCATCGAATGCATGGCAACATCCGACAATACCATCGCTGTTGCTTTTTCCCCACCAGAACAACGCGACGTCCAGAACTTCCTCTCAAATGTCCAATACAACCCAACACCAGGCAAAACGTTCATCCAGCCAACGATGTTCACCCGCGGGAGCACGCACACGAACGGATCGCTTCTATACAACCCACCCATCTACGAACTAGCAGTCATGCAAGTCATCGCGGCGAAAGGAGGCACCGAGAGCCATCATAAGCTGAGAGGGCCGAGTATCGCTGTCGTCATCGAGGGCGAGGGGACGGTGGTGTGGGCCGAAGGAGCGAAGAGGCTAGGTGTGAAGAAGGGGCAGGTGGTGTTTATTGCTGCGGGGACTGAGGTTAAGTTTTCAGCGTTTGAGACTTCGTTCAAGCTTTATCGGGCTTTTGTGGAGGTTGGTTAGAGCCTTTGGGATGTTGGCACGTGTTTAATTTGGTTGTTTTGTCGAGGTGTGGCTAGCGTATAATCTGTAAAGGATTACCCATTTGAGAAGTTGTATCTGTTGATGACCATTCTTCTACCGTTATCGAAGGGAAGATTTCTTTGAGGATAGAAGGATGGTTAGGCAGTGTGATAGTTAGTGAGCAAGAGCACGAAGGAACTTGAAGGACCAACTCGGAGAACGGGGCCGCTTTATCATATAGCGTAAAATTATGCTCATTTGCGAAGCGGTATATGTTGATGATCATGCTTTTATCGCAGTCGGTGGTATCATGGATCAAACGTTCTGGGATAGAAGGTGGTGGGATAGTTAGTGAATACGAGTGTACCAAAGGGTTGACTCGAAGGACGATGCCACTTTATATTGTGTAACAAGGTCATTGTCGTACAGGTACCTACATTCAGGACACTAGTACTGATTAAGCCAGCAAAGACCCGGATTCCAGCACCCTCGAAAGTAGCAAGAGAATGCATTTCTTCCGGAAAGTCGACAACTCGGCTCTTGCGTGATCTGAAAAGAACCGTCAACGTCCGACGTCCAGGACCCAACCTCCATTTCCCACCCTCGCCGCAGATCGTTGGCACCCAGAATCAAGGAAGCCAAAAGGTGTTGGGCAGTCAAGTGGATGATGTGTGATATATGCATGTCAAAAGACGTAGCGATGGTGACTCAACGTGAAACCGGTTCGAAGCCATCGCTGCAAAACATCTGACTATGCCATGGAGTTCACCAGGAGTATCTGTCCTCTCTGTTGTCTGGGGAACTGTTTAGTTCCATATCATCGATATCGAGAGCGTCGAGTGGATACACATTTATAGACGGTAGCAGCAGCCACTTGTCTAAGATTGAAGCTTAAACTCCGCTAGTGCAGTACGAATAGCCCTGGCCCGGGGTCCGCGTTTGAAAAGATTTTGGTGCGCATATAATAAAATTCGTTCGGCGTCCGAGCTGGCCATGGGTACTTGGGTACTCTGAGAAGGAAAGACAAAGTGAGGCATATAGGCTAGAGGAGCGTGACGAGTATTTGACTGTGCAGTGACTGTCACACACCGTGTCGCATTTGGTCAGCCAGCACGCATTCCTCTGAACTGCTCACAATGTGTTGCAGAGTCCAGATCATGATGGAACAGATATGATGAAATTCGCATGCTGCACATTCTGAGGTAGTATCTACGCTGCGCTGCTTGCAAATGTACTTATTCCTGATTTTGCAGGCTGCACCACGTTCGGTTCCGTGAATTTCCCTGTTCCATTTTGGACGCCGTGGGCCCCTTTGACCACATCATGATGGCAGACAGGATCCTTGTATTTTACAAGGAGAAATGGTACAGGGATATTACGGGTCGGCGCTAGTACCACACTGACGGACAGCCTTACAACACGAACCATCATTCTGTCCATGTGTTAGCACCACAATGATAGCCAACGTGAAACATCATCGATGCATTTATACACATCAGTAACGGCACGATGATCATCAAGTTAAAGATGCCGCCTAGGCCTCATGCTCGTCCGTCAATGTCAGCTTGCTGGCTTGCAAATATCATAGCACCTGATTTATATTAAGTGCGGGAAGCGACCTGAAGCGACGTCAACATTGCTACGCCACGTCACTATGTAAACTGATGAATATAATAGTGCGCAGGGGGTGGACATTCTCAACACCCTTACTTTACCCTTACTCTATCATATGTTTCCCCACTGTCGCAATGTCAGATCCTACTGAAACACAGCAGTTGTGAGTGGTACAATAGATTTACTATGTATCCTGATCATCGCGATTTACCAGGTGGATGCACTTGTATGCTGTTCTCGTGGCAAACAGTAATGTGCCATTTAATCTTTTGGTCTTTAACTGCTAACGAGATATTTCTAGGTATCCTGGTATATGATCATATGGTGACCCTCCCAGAAGAAATCGCTTTTATTTGGCGTCGTCCGAAAACACGGTCTGCAATGTTATTTCTCGTCAATCGCTATGTTGCTCTGCTCGGCAATATATTTGGCTTATGTATCAATTTCCTGCCCAATTCAGATGAGGTTAGATGATTTCATCATGCATTTACGCTCGCTGACCTCATTTCTGCAGAGGTTTTCATTCTAGTTCTTGAATGCTTGTCATTTGCTCAAAGGAAGCTTAGCTGTGTGAAATACATGTTATGCAGACAGCTGTTCTTTTTTTCCCAAGGAATCATCGTTTGCCGTGAGTTGGAAGTTTATTGCGAGAAATACGTAGGCTGAAATTTCCAGTTGTATTGGCCGTTCGCGTGTATGCTCTCTACGGCCGTAGTAAGCGTTTGCTTTCCTGCATGTCAATTATCGGTCTCGCTCTTGGGGGAGGAGCTTGTGTACGTGTTCACATAGAATTTAATTTTGGACCAGGCGTTTACTGATTGTATTCAGGCGGGGACCTTTGGACATTTTTCAAACAATGCAACCATCTTGCCAGGAGTTGGCTGCTATGAAACATATACAGCAGCAGTGTATGTCGTTCTGTCCCCATTCTATGCGCTCACTCAAAAGTCGTTACAGAGCCGCCCGTCAGTGAATTCTAGATTGCAACTTGATGTCACGACCTTATTCAATTGCAGGCATTGGGCTTGCATGGGTGGCCCTGTTTATATTTGAATTGATCATCTTCATTCTCTTAGTGTACAAAATTTGCAAAACTAGAGGCTTGCTGCGCTTGTCTCTGTTCACCAGGAGCAACGTTATTGATATCATATTTCACGACGGTAAGTTGCTGGATCCGTATTGTAAACGCTTAATCACCCTAACGCAGGTGCGATGTATTTCGGGTGAGGCGCTAGCGAGGTCATGGTTTGAGTGAATCTGATCCGCATGCCTTCAGAGCGATGACACTGGTCGGTATACCGAACATCCTGACGTACTACGTGAGTCACATGAATACTAATGTGGTCAAAGCGCTCACAGCTTGAATCAGTCTGGTTCAGTGAGCATATAAACCCACACCTTATATTTAGGTGGATTATTTCCTGACGATTGCCAAGGTCAATACTAGAGGCAGTCTCGCTACATTTACCAGTTGGTGAGTGATCAGTTCGATACACACAGATCGACCATATATATGACCTTCAGCATGTCCGCTACTCTCGTCTCTCGGCTGGTACTTAACCTGCACGAATCCATGGACACTGGGATTTTATCTACCACCGTTCGGGATGAAAGCGTCAGCTTCGCTCTCCTTACCACCCGGGTCAACGTACAGTCCGCTATTTCCTCACATCATTGGTAGGCTGGTATTGGATGTTTCTGTATGTTGTTTTTCGCTTTCGTTTGATGCCTCGAGCTACTACGTATATTTTGTTAGCCATGCCGCATGAGCACAAATAAATTTATACTTACGTACTGTAACTTGGTAGTATTTTTTGAGATACAGTAGCCCTCTACTAGGAGAGTAGATACATCTACGTTTGTCTGATCCGAGTGCTGGTCACTCCACTCGACGGGTAACGTCTAGCAACACATCATGTGCGACCCCGGTAGTATCAGCAACCAGAGAAACAAAAGATTTCTGGAAGGAATTTGTGTACAGGATAGTAAGTCAGCTCAATGAGATCGTCCCATACCACCAGAGTACTATTAGATCCGACCTTGTTTCCTTTTGGCCAAGAACAGATGGCGTGCTGTATCGCCCTGGCAAAGTCTGCAAGAGTGAGACGTGGATCGGTTTTGGTCTTACTAGGGGCTCATCGAAGTATAGTCCTTGACATACGTCCATCGGCGCCTGCGTGCATGCTGTGGAAGATGGTTCCCTAGTTCCCCTACATCAGTGTCCGTGCGATTGGCTGTGCCGCAACCCCAGATCACTTCTACCATACACTGACTTGTGACAGTGTTTTAGCGCATGTGAAGGAGATATTGGAATGTGGCGGTGAAAAATGAAACCTTATGCAAGGTCCTCATGGTGACAACCTATATAGATGGATCTTTTCCCTTTGGAAAGTGAAGGAGAGTCATGTCACTGGTGGGTAGGGCATGAACAAGAGGTTCGACTCCAACGTTTCGTTAGCTCGAAGCTCGACGCCCAATGACACACCGGAGTTCGATTGGGAATCCTGCAGAATGAAGCGTGAGAGATGACACTATGATGATTGATTGAGAGTTGTTCCTGCCAAGTGCCATTGTATTCCTGCAGCAGGCAGGCTGTGTGTGGCCACCGTGATGTGATATGTGAGGGCGCCGTTTGGAACTTAAAAACGTCAAGGGTACCACTGATAACAAAGATCCTTGACACCCTGCCACTACGCGATTATTGGCAAACCATACTCATGATGAGGAAGTGATTTACATACATCAAGGACTCACAAATCATGTCCCTGGTGCGCTAGAGGACCAGCATTATGGAAGGGACCTGCAGTGCGTAAACGAGGCTAATTCTGTCACTGTGTGACCTTGGTGCTCTTCCTGTTGAAAGCATCAGGGCTTCTGAGCAGAAGGTAAAACCCCACTTACCCAACAGGGGCGGAGGACTGGTATTTGCCTCTGTCGAGTCTTGAGAATGTCGATGTTACCTTTGGCGCGAGCGGCCTCGTTTTGAAGGTAATATTTGTGTGGCTGATAAGTCGATCTAGCTAAGTCATGTACTACAAGTGCGAATGTGAGGTACGAGGGTTCCGCAGGTTTTGTATTGACCACCTAGTTAAAGAGATGTATAAGTCAGAATAGAATTGCGAAAGTAGGTGTATCCGCGGGAAATGCCAACGGCGGATGCAAACACAGCTGTATCACACCAACTACTCCGACATGTGGTCTACCTCCTCAGAGTCCTCACAATGCTGTTACTGCTCTAGTACTTCCTTGGTCTGCCTTGAAATTTGAAAGCTTGATCGGTCCTAAGGCCTTCCGAGTTTTCCTCTGGGTGACATCGGCATCGTATTTCGAGACCTGTATCAGTCCTGGTTCGATCGCGTCAGAGATCTCGTGATCTAAGAGCGCTGATCGACCTATGTAGTCACTAGTACTGGCACTGATCTGAGCAAGAGTCCTACTTCTGTATCGAGACAAGAATGATGATGGCCAAAAATAGCATTTTGATTTTTTTGTTTGTTTTTGTTTATCTGCATATCCGCCTGCACTGTGTTCTGCCCCATGCAGCGGAATTAGACTCGTCTGTGACCTCGAGAGGCTGTTGCAATCAATTCGCAAATAGTTTCCAGTAGTACTTACGTTGTCCATCATGCCAGTCCATGCATCACCAAACTTCTCGGCGCTGCCCAGTAAGTTCTCATGATAGTATCTTCTTCCTCGAATAAGTATCATTGGACTCCAGAGCAGACCCAACGTCAAACCCACTGGCTTGTCTAAGTATCGCTCACTTATTGAATCATGTCACTCAGATGTTCTAACCCCAGAGAAGGGTATCAAGTTCTCCACCAGGACGCTCGTTTTAGCGATGAAGGTGACACAACTTGTTAACGTGTCCCAATGAAAGCATGCTGAAAAACCTAGATCTCAAGGATTTACCACGGAGAACAAACCACAACCAGACGTTGTCCGTCTGGTTCCTTGCGATCACAATTGTGTGCACTGTCTTGGATTTTTCCATGATTGTCTGGGACCGGTTTCTCCGAATCGGCCCTTGCTCTGCTCCAGCCTCAAACGAGCAGCTTGAGCTACTACCGTTCCAGAACCCATACCTCAACCTCGAGGTCCTCTACAACGATCCTAATTTCCAGAGCTCTACCCACGATCCAATTATCAATAATGTACTAGTAATCGCTCAAGTTTCCAATATGGAGCCTCAGAAAATCCTCCCTCCGTTTCAGCGCTACAAGTCGGTGGAAAAAAGCACAGCTCCCATTTACGAGCGACGGCTAATAGTGACACATGAGGTATGTCGCCCATATATATACTATTCAACGGACTAAATCATATCTAGCTCGAAAGCATCGCACAGTTTCGTGTGCTTGATTTTGGCATGGAGAATTGCAGCCTTTCACTCACCATCCCTCCAAGAAACAGAACGGGAGATTTGCTCTCCACGGATCTTGACGATTCTGTGATTCTCGACATCTGGTCTCTACCAGCTAAACATAAGTTGGACCTATACAACCTATCATGGGCGAAACTTCCTCAACCGAGGGTACATATTGGTCACATGAATGCGTCATATGGGACCACATATCGTATGCCAAGCTTCAAGTGCAAGTCGCAGTCATACCAGACGTTTGCAGTGTCCTGCTCTAGTCCTGGTTGCCTTGTGAATGTCACAGGCAAAGATATGGCGCCTTCAGGTGAGATCTTTATGTGGTCTACTATTGTCGGATCGTTCTGACCAGTCTTTCTTGCAGGACTATACATGTATCAAAGTCAAACAATTTAACTAGGCGTGCAGCCGAGTTGTGCCGTTGATTTTATTTATGCAATTGTGGTTTGAGAGTACTCTCACTCGGGAAAAGTAGGCTGCGGGATGCGAACCCACTGCTGTGTTTGTGTACTATCTACGTGTGACCCATCAAAGCATTGATCATGCATCATGCCAGTGTCGTCTTACGCCGCCACATCACCAGCGTTATCCGATGGCGATGAGCTATTTAAACTACTACATCAACGGGAACAAGGAAGTGCAAATGCATAGCTTAATGCGATTGATAAAGCGGCATGGGAGTTGGGATCTTGTTTGACACAATAATGTATAGTAACTTGAGAACGAGGCTCTGGATTGTCGTTCTTTGCCTTCTCATGAAGTTCAGTATGATACTCTTCTTCCACGGCCTTCAGGTGGATGAAAAAAACACACCGCAAAGTCTATTGTAAGCGGCCAAAACCCAAAATTTGAATTCTGCATTAATTTTTTACAACAGCGTTTGACGGCGACGATTTCCCTCGACTGTTGCCCCTCCCCCAGACTGGCCCAGTCCTAGTGGCCTTTGAAGATTCAGTACATTATCAGATGAACACTGAAGATGGGAGAGCGGAGTGGGCCAGTCTAACGCCGGGTAGTGGGCTTGTTTATTTAGGGGAGCAGCATCGCCCGTTCTCGATCTCGATGTTCCACCAATTGCGTTGCCTCGATATCCTACGAGAAGATCTTGTCGGAGAAAATAGCAACGCGGCTCTGAGCCGTCACTGCCTCAATTACTTGCGTCAGATGGTGATGTGTCGCGGTGACGCTCAACTGGAAAACGTACTTGGGTCAACCGGAAATTCTTCTCAAGTTTTCGTGCGGCCTGGGTCATATATGTGTAGTAATTGGAATTCTGTGCTGGAGGAAGTAAAGAAGAACCAGGCTGCAGCTGAGCTCATGCGGTAGTAGGAGGCACGACTTTCCAAAGCCGACCTTGCTCAAGACTTCGGACTCTTATTAGAAGAGCGAGCCATGTCAAATACACATGCTTGCTTAGCGCTCACTGCAGATAGTAGGAGGGATGTACTTAGCAAAATGCGAGGCTTATTAGGAATCAAAGAAGGTACTTACTTATCTCTATGTTGAGGCTCTGGTATTCGATCCCAAGTACGTATAACCTGTGCCAATGTTGTGCCAATGCAGTGGGGTTCAACTCAAGTTCAACTTATACTTAACCCATGCCGCATTGGAAGCCCCAGGTATCCAAACAACCCACAACAACACTGGCGAAATTTACTCTGGACAATAATTCCGTGTACGTACTGGTACTGGACTCTGGAGTCGAGTTTTTTTTGTCTTTCATGTTATATATTGCTCTGACGTCCAGGCGATGATCAACGATATTACAGCATGCGCAGTCCTCCTGGATGCGTTCTCAGAATTGAAGAGGAGGAACTATGCGGCCCCACGACCCAGACTCCTGCTGCACCGCGCGTCTTTCTGGATGAAAACGTAGCAGCGAGCACTCCGGAAGCAATTAACAGCATCCCAGACTTGGCTTTACTCTACCAGCTTTTCAAAGAATTCAGGAGTTCACCAGCTTGTCGGATTATGGATATCTTGATGCTTTGACATTCCTTGCGCTAAGGCCTCGGTCTCACCTCGTTTTCTCATGGTCATCATCCACAGGACCATGTTATGATGGCATTCGTGACTTTTTCAAATGAAGCACAGGAGAATGGCGACTGAAGAGTCTGCAGTCTTGTCTGGTAGGTTTTTTCTGATCCTTTCCACGACTCAGTACTCAGCAATTGACCTTCAGTTGTATTATATAATGTGTCATGTTGGTCAAGGCGAACGAGACAAGAATAGAGGTCGCTGATGGCCAGCTGGGCCCTCTAGAATTGAGTTCACGCCGGACTGCGCATAGTGCTATCTATGCCTATCCCTGGACTCGTACCGAAGACATGTTACTTATCTTCAGCATTTTGACACCTCTGTTGATGATGATATTTGTTCATATTATCATTGTCGCAGTACTGCTGCTCCTTGATCCCTACTCCTTACTTTAAAAGGCTCATATCCGATGGGTTCGCCTTTATTTTTGCTTCGTGACGTTTGCGTAGGTCTGTGTCTTCCATTTCTTGAATCGTGCCGTCTGCCGCTGAATGATCATATCAAGATTCTGAGACTAGCCGGTTTTGTACATATGGCTGTTGGGTGAGTGCGCTCGATAAGGTTACTCCACAATTTGAATTCGTGTAGATATCAGCGCGATTCAGCATGTAGGTCCAACGGGATGCCGTCTCTATTCAAATCATACTGGTGTCGATCAGAGCGATTCATCGGTATCTCAATGTTCAGCACTCAGCTTTTGTTCTGAGTTACCGACAACATTTACAGCAAATGGAAAGAACACAAATTGATATAGTGGGCTCTACCATTCATCCAGGTAATGGTCATATTCAAGTAAAACAGACGAGATCGTTGCGAGGTCGCGTTGCAGTGCCGTTCGTCACCATCACTGAAATACATGCATTATGACACCCACCGGCTTTCAAAATTTGAAAGCTTCTGGCAAACTCCGAGAATCGAGTCTCTGGATTCTGATGGTGATCGGCGATGTTCTCTGTAATACTAATTAGCTTATAAGTCCCACTGGTGTCTGAGGGTGGCTTGAGCGCTGGTATTCTACGGTGCCCTTTCTTCATGGCGTCCACCGAACTCGCTACGGAGCGTGCTCTGTACATTGGAAATACCATTGCTACAGTCATTTATGGTGAACTTCTATACCCTGTGGGTAGTGGTCTTTTGCTGACAGCCCGTACTCTTGGCATAGGAGGAATTGTATTCATATATGGCTACTCTACCTACCTGCTCATGGCCTCGAGGAAGCCAATACCGCGCAGGCTATTCTACATAAGTTTTGGAGGCCTTCTCTTACTTCTCTTGACAATCGCCAGCGCCAGTAATCTAGCCTTTGGAGAATTGATGTGGATAGAACAGCGAAACGACCCTGGTGGCCCCCCTGCATTCTTTGCTGCCAACTTGTCCGCGTGGTACAATGTCTTCGGCACAGCGGCAGACACTGCCGCAAATATTTTAACAGACGGACTCTTGGTGAGTATACAACATACATCATTATTGAGCGTTGATGTCGATACATTGTGGAAGCTTTATCGCTGTTACATTATTTGGGGCTCAAGGTTGCGAGTAATTGTCATTCCTGCAATTATATTCTTGGGATCTACTAGTGCGTGCTGCGCCATCCACTCTATACCAAACTAACTATCGCTCCCTACAGCTATGTCGGTCATGATGGTGATTGAGAGCGCCGTGCCAATGTCAAATATATGGCAGGGCCTTGCCGCACGATTTGGCATTTCATGGGTGGCATTAACTGTCGGCTTTAACATTATCGTGACTGGACTGATCACTTTCCGGCTGCTATCTATCCATCACAGAGTACAATCTATCCTCAGCAATGAACAGAAGAGTGTTTACACAGGCGCTGTAGCGATCCTAGCGGAATCTGCCCTCCCGTTCACAGTTCTCGGGATCGTCTATATCGCCACCTATATCAAAGGCATCCCAAGTGCAACAGCGGTAGGAATAGTTTGGGGAACCTTTGCGGTGTGTTCGCATGCGCGACTTGACTGCGCTGCTCTGAACTGACAATTCGCTAGGTCTTGACACCCCAGCTCATCATTTTAAGGGTCGCTTCAGGAGTTGCATGGTCGAAAGACACAGAATCTAGCATCACTCAAACCACCCTGCATGACTCATTTTCTGGCAGTAGTAACACGATCATCAAGAATGCCTAGGTTGGGACATGTGGTCCCACGTCCATCTTCAACCATTACTGCAGATATTGGACATTGCCAACTACTTAGCTTTCGGGTTGCGTTACATTGCTTGCATTATGAGTGCTCATGGCTGCTTATGCTTACACCCCATTCATACTGTTGTTTAGTCCGAGTCCGCCCGTTCATTCTTGAATAAACAAACTGCGGTTCATCCAAATAACGGTCCCGGAGGCGTCGATGAACATATGGCCAGGTTAGGATTGGTTGAATTCAGCTCGGAACGGCGTGATGGTTTCAACGGTCCAAATGGATATCTGATCAGATCATATGTACGGCTGTACCTATGATTATCGATCATCAAGCGTAGTCGTGGTCGTAACTTCAATGATATATCAACTAGCTCTGCACAAGCTAGCATAGCCCTGCTGCGGGTCTACCCCCAAGGCTAGTCACGATGCATAATCTCAGAGATGTCCATTCACACTGTGTGCTTGGCAACGACCCGAAGACCTTTATAAAAATCCTGCAAGTGCTTACTATAATCAAACCCGCGATTCCCATTCTGTCTGGATCCCCAGATTCGAACCATGTTCAATCGATTTGAACGTAATATCTACTTGATTATGACTGGATCTCTCGCTATTATATCCATTGCACTTACTAGCATCATATTTAAGGAAATGTTCTCAAGGGGAAACTCTCAGTGTTTCTTGAATACACGCACCCCAGAAAGGCAGAAAAAATTCAGTTAGTGTACTTTCCATCCAAGATAAGCAATAACTTTAAGTCAAACTTAGCTTTCATGGGCGACGATTTTCCCGAGTCATTCGTTGACGTGGGCAAAGTGAAACTCGTGGTGGAGGAAAGTGTACGATTTGCACTAGACCGTCCGGAGGCCAACACCGAGTGGCTTTCCACTTCTCCCCCGGGAACTGGACACGTAGCGCTGGGTCCAGATAACCGAGCTTTCTTCGTGGCCATGTTCCATCAGCTTCATTGTCTAAGACTCTTCCGAACGGCTCTCGTTGGTCAAAATCATAATGCTGAAGGACATGCACACCACTGTCTTAATTATCTGAGACAATGGATACTTTGCCAAGCAGATCTTACACTTGAAGCAGGAGATTTTACCACACGAGACTTCGAACAACACCGCGTTGGTGCCACACACGTCTGCAGAGACTGGGGTGAGATATATGACAGCGTCGCTGTCAATTGGCAAGAACGCCAACTTGCTGCCAGTAGCAATTCTACTACAGTAAGTCTCAGCGACTGCTAGCATGATCAAAGGAATTGACCCTGTTCTGGACAAGTGAGCTACCAGGAATATATGGATCAGTGTATATACCCTTCAAGCAGAATGGCCGCATTATAGGACCGTCATATCATGATGGTAATTTCACTGGACGAATGAGCAAGGGGGTGTTCTACATATCGCTCATTCCGTGTCGCATCAGTTTTAAGCTATTAGCAGGCTGCCGATATGCTTCGCGAAAAGTCTAGGTCAACTCTATGTACCATACGCCAAATTTAAATATCTTTTGTAAAATAGATTAAAGGTGTTGTTTAAGACCACTCATGAAAAAATCTTGATAAACGGCCTATTATCTTTGCAACTTGTAAGTCGGTACCAAGTCATGAAAAGATTTCATGATCACTTGAAAGTGCTGCAAAGAAGTTCAGACAATGCGAGGTGATGCTAATTTGGCTAGAATTCTTACAGCGATCTATCACATGCCTCTTGCCGAGCCACACAGACTCAGAGCTTTCCTCCGAGGCTGCAACAGCGGCATAAGCCCCTCCTAAATTACTTATTCAATGTAGATTCAATCAAAAGCTAGTCGCTACACTTACCTCCTCTGACAACATGGAGCGGTGCAGCCATTATATGGACTGCAAATACCGAAAGGAAGGCAAAAATCTTGGCAACCATCCTACAACAGCGATGTGGAATATAGTGGAGAAAATGGGATGTATACGATGCGGATCAATTTAGTCTTACTAGAAGCTCATCAAATTATAGTCGTCTGACCATCATCGCCTGCGCGCATGCTGTGCAAGATGGATTCCAGGTTTACCCACATCAGCGCCCATGCGCTTGGCTGCTACGAGCTGATTTGGGCTAGTGCACTGTGCAAGATAGTTTCCTCATGGCATCAGCACCTGTGCGCTGGATCAGAAGAACCGAGTTGCTCTTCAAGGGAGTAAAATTAGAGCAAATGCCTCATCCAGTCAGATTGGATGCCTACATTTTAAATCAGTCTCGAAGGCCACTGGTAAGTGTGTTGAGAAACGCGGATCTCAAGCACCGTCATAATAAAACCAGTTGTCCTGCTGGTGATTGTAGAATTTGAATGTCAGGGCATATGAGTGTAGGAATCGGAACTCAATGCTGGGGGAAGTGAAGAAGAACCAGGTTGTAGCTGAGCTCATGCGATGATAGAGGTACGAGCGTCCTTACTCTGAGAGCCAGACTTCGGACTTAGTCTCTGTCTCAGCCGCTGTGGTGCATGTGGCAATTAGATAACGCGAGGGTCAACAAGGACAGAAGGACAAGAGTCTTCATTGTTCCAATCTTCTTCGCTGTCATCGCTGTCGACAGTCTACTAACTTCATCTTTGTGAAGTAGATTAGTCCACAATTCAGATTGTTCAGCCGGCATTTTTAATGGGGATACTCATCTACTTCTCGTATTTTCTGCCTCGATGTCACAAGTGAGAGTATTCACCCGGCCCTTGGGCGTTCGCCAATCGAACTGCACCGACAGTACTATTGTTATTCAAGGTATTGCGTGTAACAGTTGTGAAAAAAAAGCTTGTCAGTGACATGTTTGTTCTTATTTGGCAGCCCAAGTTCAAATTCTATGTCATCGCATGATGATCAAGAAGGAACGTCTTTCTTCTATATGCTCTGGCTAGGGGAGACTAATGCCATCGGTTTCAACGACCGGTTTATCACTGCATCAAATCAATATCTGAGACTAGCAGATTTTACACGTGTGTTGAGTATTCAGTGACTACTTTCAAGTCAATCTGCGGTGCGAGTTTACTCCCTTCTTCTATCATACAGCAGTGCAGCCCAATGCTGAGCGCTGAATGATCATATCAAGACCCCCAACTCCGAATCGGAGATAGTCTAGCAGATTTTGTACCTGCGTTGAGCGTTGAGCGCTGAGCGCTGAGCATTCGGTGACTATTTCAAAGTCTGTTGCGCAAACACACAGGTAAGTCGGCCTCATGGATGAACACCATGATCAAGGACTATGAATAACTCATTGAATAGACCCGCATGAATATAAATCCGTGGTTTATACCTTCATTTGCTCCACTATATCCCACATTGTCGTTCTAACATGATTGCTAAGATTATTATCGTCCTCTCAGCGTTTGCTGTCTATATAATCGCTGCACCACACTCGACCCGCCATGCGGCAGGAGGAGGTAAGTGTAGCGGAGTTGAAGTCGTCATTTCTGTATTGAATGTATAATTTAGACGTTTATGCCGTCGTTGGAGCTGAGGAGAAACCAGCCGAATCTCGGTTTCTCGGAGCGGGGAAGGGCCCGTAATTATCGGCAAAAGTGGAAATTGAAAGTAAGGATGTTGAGCCGTGGGCTGGGTGTGTATAGAAATGTGCTAGATCATCATCATGGATCGTCTTGCATACATATATTACCGCGGTGTGCTTACCACAGCGGAGGAACGTGACGTCTAATTGTGTTCGCTTTGTTTTGAGGGACGCAGACAGCAAGGAATTTAAGAATAGGTCAGGCCTAACTCTAAGTCGGAGATAGTCTAGCAGGTTTTGTACCTGCGTTGAGCATTCGGTGACTATTTACTGTGATTTAATGCGTCTCTATCGACCTTAGATGTTTTGTTGTCGGTCGATATCGATCATCATTGGGTGGACTTGCCGTTGGCCCTGTGTTGTCAATATATCCTCTGCCATAAGTATTTCAGGATCGCTGGTCTTAAATTCTCAAGGTAACTGAAGCACTGATAGTCCTACAATCACCGTACAGCGCCCTTTTCTGAGTCCCTCATGGCGTCCACCGAACTAGCTACGGAGCGTGCTCTGTATATCGCGATTACCATTGGCAACATCATTCATGGTGAGTTTCTATCCATATGAGTAGTAACTTCTTGTTGACAGCCCGTACTCCGGGCACAGGAGGAATCTTATTTCTATTTGCCTATTCTACCTTCCTGATTAAGGCCTCAAGGAAGCCAATGCCGCGCAGGCTCTTCTACATACGTTTTGGAGGCCTTCTCCTGACCCTTTTGACAGTCACTGGCGCAACTAATGCCGCCTTCTGCGAATTAATGTGGATAGAATATTATTAGACAAGCGAAACAACCCCGGTGCCCCCCTTGCATTCCTTGCTGCTAACTTGGCCGCTTGGTACAATGTATTTGGCACAGAGGCAAACTCTGCCGCAAATATTCTGACAGACGGACTCTTGGTGCGTTTACAACATTCATCGTCATTGTGCATTGATGTCGGTACATTGCGGAAGCTCTATCGCTGTAACATCATTTGGGGCTCAAGGTCGCGAGTAATTGTCATTCCTGCAATTATATACTTGGGATCTGCTAGTGCATGCTGCGTTTTTTTGTTTTTTTTTGAACCCATCTATGTCCATTGAGGCTCTATGTAGGACAGTACGTTCTAAACTATAGGACACCCGTGTCCTAGCTCGTCTATGTAGTCGTGAATGCCCCGAGTTGGGACGTATCCCCTCGGTCCGGTGTTCCTGCCGGCCGTTTTAGGTGCGTGCTGCGTTATCTACTCAATATCAAACTAACTATTGTTCCGCACAGCTATGACGGTCATGATGGTGATTCAGAGCGCCATGCCAATGTCAAAGATATGGCAGGGACTTGCCGCACAATTTGGCATTTCATGGGTCGTGTTGACTGTCAGCTTTAACGTCATTGTGACTGCGTTGATCATTTTCCAGCTGCTATTCTTCCATCGCACAGTACGATCTGTCCTTACAGATGAACAGAGGAGTACCTACACAGGTACTACGACAATTTTGGTAGAGTCTGCATCAGGAAAAAACAAATATCGGTGTAGTCCCAGTGACGGCTACATATTGCTACATAGTCACTGTAGTGATATGTAGTTAAATACGGGGCTATGTAGAGCTACGGGAGGCGCTGGGAGTAGTTGTATTCACTGTAGTAGCCAATAGTCCTATTCTAAATGAATCTAAGTACTCGTAGTGGACATACAAAAACTCTCGAGGTCAATGAATGGATTTAAGTAAAATTCACTCGCCAACTCATACACATTCGCGCTCGTCCACGTAGGATTGACCAATTGACCCATCTTGGGTATGAGGTGACATGGACGAATAATCTCGTCAACATGAATCACGGCCGAATTCCGTCGCAAGTGACGAGTTGAACGAGAGATTAGACGCAGACCAGACGACTCGTCTGGCTCTCTGAACGGGGTAAACCATTCAACGTACGCAAGGGGTCGCGGGTATGCGCCAAATTGACGAGGCAGCGTGAACAACACACGGACCTGCGCAACTCGGACAGCGGCTATAATTTAGATATTGTCATTGTAATACTTCGTAAAATGGAAGCCATTGACATACCATTCAGCGTGAGTAGTGCCTTCGATGCTTGGACGCCATCACTGCTAACCAGTGCCATGTCAAATCGATTGGGGGAACCTGGCTTCCGTCCAGAAGACGAAGGAAGCACTTCAGGCGTCGCCCTGACCCGTAGGCACTTGGGCAACTCGGACACACGAGGGTCGGGGGGAAGGATGATGACTACTTGTCGGAAAGTGTCAAAACGATCTTGGGGACCAGGCACAATGCTATGATTGTGCGGCAAATGCTTCTGTAAAAATAATGTGAGAGCGGGCAGGAAATCAACGGCGCCATGCATGGTTTCGAGATGTTGAACAGATCGACGAGGATGTGGGGCAGTCTTTGCCAGAACATGAATGATATCCTGCGAAACAACAGGCACCACATCAAAGCCCTCGTTTTCAGCATCAGAGTCGGAATCATACTCAGATTCCCGTTCTGTCCGGCGAGCGGCACGCTCAGCCACCCATTCGAGGTAAGTGGATCGGCAGAAGACTGCCTCCTGGCGTTGAAGCCATAACGCCATCTGTTCCTCGTAGTCGCGCTTGTTACTTGCGCGGTAAGCCTCTTTAGCGAAGTCGATGTGGAGGCGCTCGGGAAGTTCGGTGTTGAATCCATCTGCAGCTCCGAATAGTTTGATTGACTGTACGTAGTGGGACAATTGATGTAGCTTTGGAATGTTGAAGTGTTCACGCACTGCGAGCTCCTGTAACACATCCTTGTGAGCGTGAAAAACGGTGAGGGCGTTCTCCAGACAGTCCAGGGATTCGCTCGTATGTGTATGAAGTCGTGCGTAATAGCAAAAATCCAGTAAGGCCCGCGTGACAATGACCACTCGACTGTGAATCAAAGCAACTCAATTCGTCAAAACTGAGCAAAAAAACAGAATATCATAGTAAATACCTTGGGACTGCACCAGTAATTAGCGCCATGAAAACGCGCTGCATTTCCTTGTGCTCAGTTCCGGTCCACTGCTTGACGCTCGATATACCTTTTTTAAAGTGACGGAGACCAGGATAGTCTGGAATGGCCTTGAAGCGAGCGTCAAGTTCGGTTTCTCCCACGATGTCGAGGCACCATTTGACGAGATGGTCTTTGAAGACCCCCTTGTGGAGTTGGTGGAGGAGATCTGGCGTGAATGCCAAAAAAATGTTGGTGTGTGGTAAGTTGGCCCAGAAAGGTTTATACACCGGCCTCAGTCCATACTCATCGAATTCTACTGGGTGCTGACCACTCCTCCGTCTCTCCAGTATCTCCTTTGTCAGCTCCGGGTCTCGGATCAGTGAATTTAGCGGATCACCACGCTCATCGGCTGCCACCAAGCACTTAGGGCACCGGTTTTCTTTGCAGCAAGCAATGAGACACTGCTCGGGAAAATCCGCGACGTAGGCCGCAAGTATGGGGTACACTCGTCGAATGAACGAGTCAGCGCAAACCATGTCTACACCATCCTCACCGGCTGCAATCAGCGGCTCCAGCAACAGCGACAGACAGTGGTGGAACAATCGGTATCCAGCGAGGGATCGCGCATCAGACGTGAAACAATCGAGCTTCGTCACAGGTAAGTACCCGATGAGGATGGTTGCGCGTGCGGATGTTTGACGTCGTTTCTCTTTGGCAATGTTGCCAATTGACAGATAAACAGGCCAAGCGGACTTATCACCTCGAAACTGGGATAGCATTGTCTTGTCGGAGGCGAGGATTATTGGAGCTATGGTCGCACCCTCAGGCAGTTCTTTCTGATGTGAAGGTAAGCACCTTTTTCTCGTATCAAATTGATGCGCTACTCACCTGCTTGTCCCACCACCAATCAGCTGTCCACATATCATCGATGATCCGTTCGGTGCCCGCTTCGTCCTCGTACGCTCGTGATGGTGCGTACACCATATATTCCTTGAATAAAGGATTTCCGATAAGTTCCTTGATGCATTCTACAGGGTCGCGGGACCAAAGTTCAAGGTCCTCATGCAGCGACTGTCCGTTCTCATCCGTCCGATTTCCTTTGACGCTAACCTTCTTACAATTCCAGGCCGGTCCATGTGGCAGCGCATCAACTCTCTGTAGGAATGACCGTTTATTATGGAATGAAGGCTTGGTGCGGTTTTGCGTCTATCACTATGGTCAGTACATGTCTTCAGTCATTGATACCAAGCTCACTATCGGTAACTTCAGAAATTCATCCGTTTTAGTCTGCCCAAGGCTTTTGACCATCCATTCAGCAAGTCCCCATTCTTCCCTGCCAGAACTAAAGTTAATTTTCGTTGCAGATACGAGAAACGCGACTCATACTCATTGGCAAAGGGTGCCCACATATCTTCACCTTCACCCTCCTTATATTGCTGATGCCTTTCAAAACTAGTTTGGCCCTCTCGCAACGTCCAACCAGCTTCAGGATATGATTCAAAGTACCGCCTGCCATCTTCTTTGTCCAGTCACTTCTTCAACAGTGACTCGTCGACTTTTAGATGCTATAGGGTTGTCTTCCTCAAAATCGATGGAGCGCGAGCGGCGAAGTGGGGAAAATGAGTCGTTGTAAGCTGGTGCGCCATCTTCGTCATCTGTATCTCTAACCATAGACTCCCATTTTCTTTGACATGCGGGGTGGGTAGCTATATGCTTCTTCACACTCCCACTTGAACGGAAAGGCTTGTCACAGTAACCGCAGTTGTGCAGCATGGTTGGTAATGGTTGGTAAGTGGAATTGATTTTTTTTCAGGTTCATTTTGACAGCATAACATAATTTGACAGGTGCACGGCCCCAGATCGCAGTCCGTTATAGAGACTAGTTTGAGGGCGCCACCAGGTACGTCCATTTCTTCAGTCCGAAATCGCAGTCCGTTATAGAGACTAACTTGTGGTTTTTCTTCAGTCCGAGATCGCAGTCCGTTATAGAGACTAGCTGGTGGGTTTTCTTCAGTCCAAGATCGCAGTCCGTTATAGAGACTAGTTTGAGGGCGCCACCAGGTACGTCCATTTCTTCAGTCCGAGATCGCAGTCCGTTATGGAGACTAGCTTATGGTTTCAACTGAAATTTTTTAGGTTTCGGTCTCAGTGATTACGGCACGGCACGGCTCTACACCAGTCTAGTAATACCATGAGCGGCAAGAAGTAACTCTAAAAGTTGTGCCCGCTTCGCCTCCTCACAACGTTTTGCTTCAGCATCCCAGCGCTCTGCAACAAGTCTTTGCAGGCTCGCTTGTATGATGGTGAGCCTCCCTTGGCCTAGTCCCATTTCGAATTGACGCAATTTCTTTGCTTTCTCGCAGTAACGAATTTCGGCGTCCCAACGCTCTATGATCAAGTCTTCGTATGTATGACTGAGACACTGAGATGGGACCAGGCGTTTGACGGAAGGGGGGGAGCGGATACATGGCCTCTTCAATGGGCACTTCGCGCTCGCCTGCATGAGGCTCCTCGTTATCCTCAACCTTCGGCCTGAAAAATAGTGAGTGTTTGGTATCGGTGAGGAGGTGTAGATTACCTTTTGATGGTGTTAGGGCGTTGATAGCAAGCCTCCGAGTCTGTGTCAGTGGACGCCGCTGACATTAATCTGTAGGATCTGTCAGAGTGGGTGAGTGTTCAAAAGTATGCTCCGCACCGTTTCTTGGCTGAAGTGGAGGTATCCATGGCAGTGAAAATTATTGCGGCGGTATGTCCCTACTTTTTATCCATTCTATTTAACACAGCTTTCAGCATGGCGTTATGCTCGATCAACAAACCCTGGAATCAACAAAGACAAGGTTCTAATTGTAAGTGTTTATGTCTCGTGCAACATTATAAAAGCTGCTGAACCTACAGGTTGTTGACTTGTTCGCACCTTGTGTTTTGAGGACGAATAATCATGCCGCCCCCTCGCAAGGCCACCTCCAAGCCCCCAAAGATAAGTGTTCTGTCGTCACCGCAGGGTAATCAACCGCTTGCGCACACCTCAAGAGGTCGAACACAGCCGACCAACAGAAAAAGAAAACTATCGAGGTGAGTTTCCACAACTATGATATGATGCTTTCACTCACTTTCTCTACAGTATCTGAAACACGAAGCACAGTCCGTCGTCAGGCCACAAAGGAGAAAAAGGCGGAAAAACAGAAAAAACGGGCACTCAAGGCGTCCTATCAAGAGAACCCTGATGACTTCGAGAACGAACCCTCGGAGCTACATAGTGACAGCTGACCATGATGAAGATACTATGGTTTGCACATTCGTCTTGTTTGCCGCCGCTTGAATAGTAGCTGATTGTTTTTTATTTATTTAGTTCTTGGACCGTGCTCTGCAGACGAAGCTGTCCAACACAAAGGTCTTGTCATTCAGCATGGGGAAAATACCCCCGGCATCACGCATCACTAGCGGCAGTGCACACCAGTTGAAGGGTATGTCATTTTGCTCATCAATTGATGGTACACTAATACACGTCTGTTTGACCTAGCACCAATTGATTCTGACAACACTAACATTGATGAGTCTTCTGGTGACGACTCAGACAAGAACGACAATGATCAATCTGAGGCTGGCGCTGGCCAGACTGACGAAGAGGACGGTAACACTGTCGAAGAGGACGGTAACACTATCGAGGAGGATGGTAACACTATCGAGGAACAACTGCCTGCTACTCGGGCTAGCAAGCGACCGCTCGACACTGAAGAGGGCACCACGGTAGCATTGAAGATGAAGAAACATTCAGATGGCTCCCGTCTGCCGAGTCGTGTAAAAGTCACCGACTTTGATGATGTCTCCAAAGACATCCTTGTAACCGCAATCTCTATCTTCCGCTGTCTAATCGTCACACAGGCGCCGTTTCCAGATTCCATTGCTGACGAGACGATGCTGGGAAAAGAAGCCTGGCGTGAGGCTTGCCAATTGAAAGGCATCAACATCAAATTGACGCCTTTAGCAATTAAGATGGTAAGCCGTCTGTTATTTATGTATTCTTGGACTGACTTATATTATATCTTACCTTCTGAAAGCTCTTGAAACGCACATCGCATGTGCGCGGTGAACTCAAAACAAAGATGCGGTCACTAACTCGAATTTTTTTTGGGTTTCGGTCGAGCGAATCGAGGGACGTGATAAGGCAAAACCGTGATCTAGCGGAATCTTTGAAAAATGGTTCATCGTTCGTTTTCAAGGTATGTAGTGCAATTGTCTACTTTCAAGTACTGACTGTGGGTATTAGGACTGGACAGCGAAAACGGGGATATACAAGACCGATTTACTCCAAGATGGGATCAATATCATGTGGTTTGCAAACCGAAGTGACGAAGGCATCGTCTACAATCAGTACTTCAACCCCATGCCTATCAAGGTTATTGCCCTCACGCTTACAGTTGTAAGTCATCTCTCGTGTTCGTACTATCATTAAGATCCCTAAATGTTGTTAGATTGAATGCTGTATTGACGAGTGGATGCAGGGTGTCAAGGAAGACATCAAGTTCACAGCCCTCGCATATAGATCTGTCTACAACAATCATTTGACCTCGCTGCAGCGTTTTGACGAGCGCACGGCACCTTATAAGCTCTTCGAAAGGATTTGTGACAATTTGCATGACGTGGCTTGGTGAGTATCACTCGAATTTTGCAAGTGCCAGTCTAAATTTGCGAAGTTTCCATGCAGGTGTAGTAGATACACCCACTACATTCTCAGAATCCTTGATCAGTGACGAGGCATTCGAAGATGCCATTCGAGAACACCGGCTTCAGGAGGAGAGTGCACGGCGAGGTTAGTGAGAGTGGGAGCCGACTCGGGTCGTAGCAGTACTGCTGTTAGTATCGACTGATCTGAATTCATTGATTTGTTGCTATTTCGTGTGCTATAATCTGAGTCACTATGGTGTGCTATATAGTTGCTTGGAGTCCCACTCCTACGAACTACAATCTACTACTGATTTACTACAGTTGCACCATGTGGTGCTCCATAGCGCTATATAGCACTATGGAGCACCACATAGTCACTTCAGTTGCTATGTAGAAGGGCATGTAACAACCGAGCTACATGGACAACACGGACTATATAGTACTATATAGTGAGATTGTTTTTTCCTGATGTGCTCTCTCCTGTGGCAATAACTGTTGCTATGTATACTTGGCCGGCTAGCTGGCAGGCCCTGATCATCACGCGGAACAATGGCCCCTCGAGACTCTTGTTTCCACCAGTCATGACATCAATAGATGGAGTTGTATTTGAAAACATCGCGACTACACTGTCGATAGTATGAAGGCTGTCTTACATGCGACATAACCTCACCATGACTGACTCGCCCAACTGAGATTCTGTGACGTCCGTGAGCCTATGTGACAAGCGATGACGATTATATATCCTTGATACCTGTTAGCTGGTCAACGATAGCCAGCTTATACGGAAAGTTGTTCATAACGCTTGATGGTATGTAGCATAATGAGAGCTTATTTTGCATGCTCAAAGGTGAAACCTTCGGGTGTTATATCATCATGATCTCTTCTAGCAAGATGTAAGTAGAACACGATCAAAACGCATCATACGATGCACGTAAATATACCAAATCTGATGCAAGAAGCACGCGTGCCATACACGAGTGCAGTCTTCCTGATCACAGTGTTCTGCCATCTTGCACAGCGTACACACAGGTATACAGTTGGTCTCATGGATGAAGATCATGATCAAGGACTATGAACAACTCATTGTATAGACCCGCATGGATATAAATCTGTGGTATATACCTTCAATTTGCTGCACTATATCCCACATTGTCGTTCTAAGATGATTGCTAAGACTATCATCATCCTCGCAGTGTTTGCTGTCTATATAATCGCTGCACCACACTCGACCCGCCATGCGGCAGGAGGTAAGTGTAGCGAAGTTGAAGTTGTCATTTCTGTATTGAATGTATAATTTAGACGTTTATGCCGCCATTGGAGCTGAGGAGCAACCAACCGAGCCTCCAATACTAGGATCTATGACAACTTGAAGCTATGCCACCACGATGATCCGGGAATGATTAATCGGAGGGACGGGTGGGGGGAAGAGCTCGGAATTATCAGCAAAAGCAGAAATTGAAAGTAAGGAAGTTGAGCCGTAGGCTGGGTGTGTATAGATAATAGAAATGTGCTAGATCATCACAGCGGAGGAACGTGACGTCTAATTGTGCTCCAAGGAATAAGAATAGGTCAGGCCTAGGATCGGTAACAGCGTACCTAGCTAGCGAGACGAGAGACTCTAATGAGAAGAGGTACTATGAGGACCCTTGAAGAAGATTTGCTTCGAACCGACTCGGAGTGTGTGAATTTTGAAACTCCCAACATGATCGACGTGCTGATCACCTGCTAGCTATTGTGCTGCGATATATGTTGGATTGATTCGTTGCTCTAGATCTATGTGTTGTGCATGCTGCTCTTTATTTTGAGCTTCCATCGAGCACACCAATTGAATTAGGACCGCTCTAGGCATGCATCGAAAACGGCATTCAATGAAAACACGATGGTTGCTGCAACCCTCATTTTAGGACGATCAGCTCAAACTCATCTCTCATACCTTCCTTAGGCTGCTCCCCATACACTTCAATTGCTAGCTTTCTGTCTGGAATCTGGATCCTGTCTAACGTCCAATGACGAGGTTATGCATTGACCTGCACTGCCTTGTGTGATTCAGAGGTCTGAGTTTGAAATGCACACTCCGCTCGTGATGCGCTTGTGCACCTTCAACTCAATCTCCATCTCCCACCACAGTCTACTACACGACTAATTCACCATGGAAGAAGAAGTAGCTGCCCTCGTATGTTCAATCCCATCGTAGTGCTCGACTCCGTACAAACGCTCAACTTCCTTATGTTGTCAGGTTATCGATAATGGATCCGGCATGTGCAAGGCTGGCTGTAAGTTCCTCTTCGATCTACGTGTTTCACCATTTGATAAGCATCTTCGCAGTTGCTGGTAATTCAAGGCCGTTCGTGGCGCTATAAGGATGCACAACTGATCCCATTTTAATAGGCGACGATGCTCCCCGAGCCGTCTTCCCGTAGGTTTAAGATCGTGTATCATTAAAGATGATCAAGCACTCACACATCCTTACAGCTCTATTGTCGGCCGCCCTCGTCACCAGGGTGTCATGGTTGGCATGGGTCAGAAGGATTCTTACGTCGGGTAAGCTTCGGCAATCTCATTTAAGCTTTCACCTAATTTAACCTACGCAGTGATGAAGCTCAGTCCAAACGTGGTATCTTGACGCTAAAGTACCCCATTGAGCACGGTATCGTCACGAACTGGGACGACATGGAGAAGATTTGGCATCACACTTTCTATAATGAGCTTCGTGTGGCCCCAGAGGAGCACCCCGTCTTACTCACAGAGGCTCCCCTCAATCCCAAAGCTAACCGTGAAAAGATGACCCAAATCATGTTCGAGACATTTAATGCACCCGCGTTCTATGTCGCCATTCAAGCTGTCTTGTCATTGTACGCGTCCGGTCGTACCACCGGTATCGTCATGGACTCTGGTGATGGTGTCACCCACACGGTTCCTATCTACGAAGGTTTTGCTCTGCCTCACGCTATCCTCCGTCTCGACCTTGCTGGTCGTGATCTTACCGACTACCTGATCAAAAACCTGATTGAGCGCGGTTACTCATTCACGACGACTGCCGAGCGTGAAATCGTCCGTGACATCAAGGAGAAGCTGTGCTACGTCGCCCTCGACTTCGAGCAGGAGATGCAGACTGCTGCCCAGTCATCGGCGCTTGAGAAGAGCTACGAGTTGCCTGATGGTCAAGTCATCACCATTGGTAACGAGCGGTAAGATGATTTTACGCTGATTATTGCATTGTCTTGACTTGCAAAATCCCAAGGTTCCGTGCACCTGAGGCTCTCTTCCAGCCTGCATTCCTTGGTCTTGAAGCTGCCGGTATCCATGAGACTACGTAAGAAATCATTCACCAGCAACGTAGTATGGTTTATTTACCCCCGCCTAGGTACAACTCGATCTTCAAGTGCGATCTTGATATTCGTCGCGACTTGTATGGTAACGTCGTGTTGTCGGGTGGTACTACCATGTTCCCTGGTATTGCCGACCGTATGCAGAAGGAGTTGACGTCACTTTCGCCTTCAAGCATGAAGGTTCGTGTCAAACTTTGTTTCACAGTCATAATAGGTATTCATGACTGCTTTAGGTCAAGATCGTCGCTCCTCCTGAACGGAAATACTCTGTCTGGATCGGTGGTTCCATCTTGGCTTCGTTGTCCACTTTCCAGAACCTGTGGTGTTCAAAGCAGGAGTACGATGAGTCAGGTCCTGGTATCGTCCATCGCAGTACGTGTCTGTCATTCTATGACTCTACTCGTTCTCAATTACCCCCGCAACAGAGTGCTTCTAAATGTAATGAAAGAAGTAAGCGCGCAGTGTATGATGTACCTAGGATGACATTGCTATTGATTCCCGGCGATGTCGACGGCCGGAGGAGTTCTATTGGTAGATGCGATACATATTTGGAGAAAATCTTTATGTTGAACCGTTCGTCTGTTGTGCAGACGAGGGACAATTTCATAATAAAAGTTGAACCATGCTTGAATGACGTAGTGATGGCCTGCTCCGAGCCTATGAAGTGCTTGTTCGAATTTCGGACTAGTAGTGTCTAGTCACTGCTAGTAACTAGTAGCTTACAACAAGCCGCAGCCTGGGCCCCGGCGAGCGGTCTGACTGAACCCTCTTTGCACAAAGTGGACATGAACAGAAAGAGAGTGTGCATTGAAAGTGCCTAGATGACAACGACATACATAGTGAATAGTGACCCAATTCATCGCTCCTTCTTAGATTCCGAGAGTTTCTTCTCATCCGCTTCCTTGAACGATTGCTTGTCTTCCATCACAGAAACGACGATGTACGCAATGAGGACTAGGTTGGCCACACATATAGCGGTGATCGCTGCATAGTTGGAATTGCCTTTCAGAATGTCAATCAGTACGAACTCGTGCCTCCAGTAGTATTAGTAAACGTACCAGACCAAACATACTTTTCTGTGAAAAAGTAGGATGAGATTGGTAGGATGGCGAGAGTTGCAGCGAAAAAGAGGAGTTTCATGAGCGCCGCCCTTTGACATCACCAATGGGATTGAGGAGTGAGTGATGTTTTTCGTCTGAGCGGTCTTGTGAAGACAAACCTGGAGGCAGCCTGCTCTGAGACTTTTGCTGCTATGACTTGATCACTCATGCCGAGGTCAAAAATGGATTACTAGTAAACTTTGGTTGTGTTCAAGTTTGGGATATTCGAGCAGCATTTCATGAGTAAGCAACTTGTGTCAGCAACTTCAAGTCTGCCTCGATGTATCTTACATAATCGCTTCCAGCCTTGCCACCCGTCCGTCAATTTTTGGTATGTATCTGCCAGATGCTCAACGATTTCAATTGCATACCGAAGGCGAAACGTTGCTAAGGACCACCGACTCACTGGAGCAGCTCAAACGCTGTTGCTTGCAAGTGGAATCGTCGCCTGCGATGGGCAACTTCTATGAGCTGGTTTCAGTATCGCGTTGTGCTCGACACCCTCGGCTTTGATCACCAACTTCAGTTTTCAGCCTGAACCGCTCAGTTTCTTAGGTCAGGCAAAGCCTAGGGCACCATAACGTGGCCAAGTTGTACTTAGGTCTCCGCGAATTTGTTGGGAACGTCGCCAAGGGGTAAGCCGTAGCGTTCGAAGCATGCTGCCCGTGTTGGGTGTAACTCAGATGGTGACCACGCACTTCTTGAACAAGAAGGTGAGCGTGTTGTTGGCAGATGTTCCTAATCTGCGTAGACTCCAATATGCACATGAGCTTACTTGAGCTACGTCAACCCTCTACAATGTTCACCTCTGTACTCTGGTCAAAAGTGGTGCACACCCAACGATATGTAAAGCGCTGGGTGAAAATGTGGCTGGCATCGGTGTTGATGTGCTGGTGCACGTCCTCAGAAGTAGTCTGGGCGGTTAGGCAGAACTTTGATATAGACAACCCTTTGTTGCTCATTGAAATTGATTGCAGCAATTTCCAGAACATTGTATGCGAAAACAAAGTAAGCGTCGGTCATATCGATCGATTTGCATCTCTCAAACAATCTTACACTACCCTTCAAGACAGATTTCAGTTGTGAGGCGTCCCGTCTAACCTGGATGCAACATACAGGTTGTATTTGCAACTCTCTCACCATAGCCTCTCGTCTTAGTGCTTCAAAGTCATGGGCCCTTGCTATCGATGCTTTTGATGTTCGTCATAGGGCTTTGACCACCGCTGTGTGACTAATGGAGCAAGGTCGTGTAGTAATCTGGCCCGAGCTGACACCCTACTTTTCGTGCCGGGTAACACTGGCGCAACATCAACGGAAGAGTTCAAGCAATCGAGCTTTCGCATTTGTAACGTGTTCAATCATTCTACTGAAGACCAGTCCTCGCACATCCCACAATTGACCATACAGTCGTCTCACGCATCTTTTCATGAACTACTGTAGAGATACGACACTAGGTTCGTCACGGGTCACAGCCATCAACTGAATCGAACCTATTTCACCTGGGCTTCCCATTAAGTAAGCCTTACTATAGTGGTTTGTTACGTGCTGTGCTTACTATTGTTAGGCTTAGTTGCAGCAATCCTCAACACCAGCATTAAATGCTGTCCCAAATAACCCAGGACCTTTGGGTATTTGGCGTAGGTAAGTAGCTCGGCACTGTCGGCACTGTCTGCCGCCTATTTACGCCTAATGCGTCATCCCGACGTGCCCCGCCATGCGCTAAGCTTCCAAACTAGGTGAGACTCTTTTCTCACGCCCCTTGCCCTTCTCCATCACCGCCAACGTCGTCTACCACCTGTTCTAGCCATCGACGCGGGCTTCCTGCACCCCCAACAGCGTCGTTCACCACCATCTTACGTGGATCTGTCCGTTGGACCAAGTACAACGGCTCTGGACACCGCCTAGGTGAGTCTTTTCTCGCGTGCTCTTTGCCCTTATCCACCACCACCAACGTCGCCTACCACCCGTTCTAGCCATCGACACAGGCTTCCTGCGCCCCCAACAGCGTCTTTCACCACCTCCTACGTGGATCTGCCTGCTGGACCAAGCGCAACGGCTCTGGACGCCACCCTCATCTCTCAACAACCCATCTACCACCCTTAGCGTCGGTGCACGCTTTCTACGCCTACATAGACCTTGTACCATCGCTCTGGATGCCACCCTCACCTTTCAATCACGCTATATACTGCCTACTTTACACACCTCGCTAGACCTTTTACCACCACTATGAATGCCACCCTCATTTCTCAAGTAGACCACCCGCTTTACCCAATATCATTGGCATTGCCAACCTATCTACGAGACCCAGTGTATTTCACAAAGTTAGCTTGCTTGTAGTCTGACTGTATGGGACTTTGCGCAATGAAAAACCCTTGAATTTATTCAAACGAGTGACAGACGAAGTATATCTATTGAACTAGATTTGGGCTGCCGGCCCAAAAATAGTATCTAATGTATCCAACAAGGCATCTGGGTCAAAGAACTCGTTAGAAGGTGACACAGGAGCGCTGCTGATGGCTGGAGGAGTAGGGGTACAAAAGAAGTCGAAGGTGGCGGGATTGATGGAGTCGACGGTGCCAGCAATATTGGCATTGTTGAAAGCCTCGGTATTGGTGAAGTTGGTGGAGGCACTAGCCTCAGCTGTTGACATTGCTATTGGTGCTGGCATTGGTATTAGTGCCGGCGTCATCGTTGGTGTTGGTGCTGGTGGAGTTGGTACTGATGTTGGTGGAGTTGGTACTGATGTTAGCGCTAGGGATGTTGGCACTAGGGGAACTGGCACTAGGGGAACTGGCATTGGCAGCTGGGGTGGTCTCGTCTTCATTGTCGGTCTCGACGGTCTCCGTGCTCTTGTACGTCTTCTTGCGACGACCCGATCCATCCGTAGACCGTGCCCGCTTCTTTCCCTTGTCTGAGCGAGTCCGGCGGCGGTGGTCCGTGATCTCACCACTTTCCAGCTTCTCGTTGCGCTCTTCGAGGAGTTGTTGAAACTCCTCGTCGTCAATTTCTCTCCAGCAGATGGCACGAGACTCCCACTTCCGACGAATCATTTCAAGGTCAGGAAGGGCGCTCGAGGCTTGGCTGAGGTTGACGAAAGGGATGTTAGCAGGCCAGCCTTCGATAACGACTTTATAGCGCTGGATAACGTTGCGGAAATAATTCGCCCAGTGCATCTTCGCGTTTTCGTCCTTAGTGATTGCCACTACATGGTAATAGTAATTAGAATTGTAGTATGAAAAATAAATTGAAAGAAAGCTCACCAAGTCCCTTCTGAATTTCGTGGCGGATCGCCGCACGAACATCGGAACAACGCTTTTGATGATTTTTCGCAGCACCTGTTGAGTAATGGAATTTAGTGTGATGAGCAAAGGTACAAGCAAACATACCTTTCATGCCCTGGACAGCGAATCCTTCCATCTTGCTAATTAAATCTTGATTGTCGATATTCATTACAGACGACATAAACTCGTCCACACCTTCGGTAGCAAAAGCGACACCACGAAGAGGGAGGTCCGTGGACCCACGCGTCGTGTAGAGGATCGCCTCGGCTCCCGTACGGCTCCTCAAATTGTTAAGCTATAAACTGTGTCAGTGAATCGAAAATGAAGATGCGTGAGGACTCGCCTCGTTCTCAACGGCCTTGAGGGTCTGGGTGACATCATTAACCTTTGACTTTGTTGAAATTCGGATGCCCGTGGCTTGTGTCTCCTTGTGCTCGCTGTACTCGAGCAAAATCGCAGCCTTCTCGTCATCTGTGAGCTCTTGATATTCCGCACGGTGGCTCTTGACGAGTTCTTGTAGGACGTCCTTGCCTGTCGCCCCTTGATGGCACAGTAAGTACGATGTTCGTGTGTTGTCAAACCACGTACCATTCTCTTGATTATCCTGCCGTTTTTTCCAACAGAATGCGTTCCACGCATTCAACTTCGAGCGCTTGAATCTCATCATCCCCCGGCCTAAACATAAGTCATTTTGTACACGGCGGAAACTCTTGTGGTGAGAAGATGCGATTTCCTTTACGGTCTCATCGAGACCGTTCCAAGCATCACCGAGAGCTGATCTGAATTGATGCGCATTTTCACGACGCCGAGCAGTAAGGGCAGCGCGGGCCTCCTTACTGAGAGTGACCCTCGTGCGACGAGTAGGCAAAGCCTGGATGCGTTTGCGAGTCTGTGTCGCGTGAAAGGTCTGGGTGGCCATTGACCTGGGTATTTCAGCGGTTAGTAAACACCCACGCAGCCAATTTATACGCAAATGGCGAGCACAACGGAGCACATATATTGGTGTAACTATTCAAAAAAAACATCGGTGGCTTTTGCCACACACAATCGGGGATCTAGAACAAGAACAAGAGAAAAAACAAGTAAAGTGCGCACATAAAAACTAGGGCGCCAAGAAATGTGAATATTTGTGAAAGGAACGAAGACGGCGGCTAGAAAGTGATTAAATTGTCAATCAATTCAAATAACGGTAGAAATATAAAATACCTTAGTGTTTGTGGGCATAGCTCGGTTGCTGTGAACGTCAGAATTGAGTGCCCTACTCAGGTTCAATGCCTGTTCATAAGTCAGGTTCCATTTCGGTGATTGAAGCACAGCCTCCCAGCGGCTGCTGCGAACGGAGCCGATGAGCTGATGAAGTTTGGGAAGTATGTGATCGTCTAAACCGAACCGATCAAGCACAGCATCGGAGTGCGGACCTATGCTGATCAAGGGGGCCCCGGCTTGGAAAGATGCTGCTGCACCAGTTGACTTGGTCGTATTTTTGGTACCGGGGGGCTTTGGGACAGTTGCAGTACCTTGTTGAGCGGCACTCAATAGAAATGCGTCAGCGTTGCGACGCTGCCGAATGTCTGACTTGCTCTTGCTAGGCGATGCTTTCGCGAGGGCTTGACCCATCTGAACAGCAGCTGAAAGCGACTTGTTACTAACTTCAAAATCACGTTCGAACTGCTTGGTGGGACGAGCGGAACACTGAATACGTGCACCTGTGGCCACCAAGGGTCCAGGCAAAAATGGGGGTCCAGAAGGATTCACTTGACTTGCCGGGTCTTTGAAAAAAGTAAGCTTGTGAACATGGAAACAGAGGAGACTCACAATGCCGGGGAGGGATGATGCCCTCAATGCGACAACGTTCTGCATAGCGCTGCAGATGGGGGATGACAAACTCCTCGCTGAAAGCCTGCACTAAGGCTGATAAATCTCCCCCAATCCGCTCTGGTGTTTCACGATGTTCCCGTGGCGTAATGTACAGATCGACAGTGAAGTGCTCCGGAGACAGCGTTTCTGAGGCTTCAGAACCAGCACAACGCATGAGGATGGAAATTCCACCATCAAGACGATCTTGCATTGTGATCTAACAATCTATGTCATTAGTATACAAAGATAGAAAATAAAAAAAGCTCACCGCATCAAACAGGTCTTGTAATGCTGCGTCAAGGAAATCTTCTTGTGTGATGGATCGTTCGTTTGATGATGTGTATGAATTGAAGGCGATATGAGATGGATGGAGGCCACCAGGCTTTCGGGTATGATAGTGAGTACCGTCAACGTGGGCTTCATGCTTGAGTAACGCGCGAGCTGCTGCCTGTCGTTCTCCGTTGCTGAAACCTTGAGCAAACGAGCTTGAGTGTAGCGCTGCTAAGCTGGACAGTGAGAAGCGAGCCACCTGCACTGGCTTGTCCATAACACCAGACACAGTTTCTGGAGATTCTGCACGAGCTGGAAGTGTCTTGTTTGGAGTGGTGGGGGAGGGGGCATAGACAGAGTGAACCATGGTTGAAGCGCGAGGTTGAAGCGCGAGATTTGGGAGAGCGGTTATGAAAGTAATGAAATTTGAGGCCTTGAGGCATGTATTGATACCGATTATGTTAAGAGTGCGCTCCTAAGTCATAAGTATTAGTAGCAGGTAAATATCATGAGCGCAGATCACAATATGTAATTAAGTAGCAGATGATATGTAGAAAGGGAATGTGTTAAAGAGCCTAAGTATATAGTAGCAGATGATATGTAGAAAGGGAATATGTTAAGAACGGCCTAAGTATGTAGCAGATGATATGTAGAAAGGGAATATGTTAAGCTTGAGGATTATCATATGTATATTGAGCGCAAATCACACTACACCGCAGAGGAATATTTTAAGGATCATCATACATTTCTCCCATTCCACTACAGTTCGGCCACTAGCATTTTGCGTGTCTGAACATCTCGAATTCCAATATCAACACTACTATTGTATTTTCGACGCAACATTTACTCTACAACGGATGCCAAAAAATCAGCGAAATCTTCTACATTCTGTTCTTGCTCCTCATGCTCAAGATTATCTCCACCACTTTGTTCGTCAGTTGTTGAAATTGTCGAAGTCGCCATCATCCGCTCAGGTTCTGCATTAGAGATATGTAAGCTGCAAATAATGAAGAGCGGGGGACATACCATGGCTAGATGTGCCGTTGAGTCGAGTTCCGAGGCCTCTTTTGCCTGAAAAGCCTGCCTGTGACATGATTCGATCTAATCTAAACAAATGCGCTGCATTGATGGCAGCGCGACTGCGCCATTGACGTTGCAGTTCAAGTCCAACAGGTTTGTTGGATACGAGAAGGGAATTGATGGTGGCATTCACAGTGAGTTCCTCATCATGTATGGCTGTACGCAACCGACGAATTTCAATATTCAAGCGTTGAATCTCTTCACGGGCACGTTGAAGTTTGAAGTACTTTACCGTAGCTTCGCGATGCGCAGGTTTGGTCCAGTCCAGGGTGCGAATGTCAGAACGAGACTGGCGCAAAAGATCGAACTCGCCCAGAAAGCTGTACTCCACTATATCTTTCCAAGTGAGCTGTGGACGCGGAGGTACAAGAGCAGCAGCCTGCAGATTGAACCGGCTAAGTGCGTTCCGAATCGCCTGTGATCGACGTTGTAGAGCCTTGCTAATTTGTTGACGTAGTTTGTAGCCTAAAATAAACAAAATAAACACTTATGTGAGTGCGCAAATAGCATGATCTTACCCGTGCCTGAAAGCGAGAGTTTCGACAACTCAAATAGACGCATCACGACAAGTCGTTCTAAGTCATCGAGTGCTGTGCGGTAAGTCAAAAGTGAAGCTTCTTGGTGAAATTGACGGTAGAGTTCGCTGTCAATCTCCCATCGCTTGTCAATCCCAAGTTGAATCTCTAAATGCGAAGCCATCGCTTCCGCATTTTGAAGCTTCGAATATGATCCGTCAACTCGGATCCGGGCTTGATTGATGGCGGTGTGCATTTCCTGATAGCCGCCGACATGAATATCCACAAGCGCCCGATTGGCGGCTTCTCGTGCTGTGTTCCATTCCTTTCTGTCATATACATAATGTAAGTGCCAAATAAATACAAATTAAACTATATGACTTACTGGCGGACGACAACTTCATCAAGAGCTTGAACATATCGAACACTGACACGATCCTTGACAGGGGGTTCCTTCAGGCCATCGAGGTATGAGCGCTCTTCCTTGTGAAAACGAACGAAGTCGGTGTGTGTGAGATTGAGGACACCTTCCAGTGAGGAAAGTTCGCTGGTGAGAGTTTGAATGGCAGTGAGTGCCTCTCGGTAATGATTCTGTAAAAATGTACCTACACATCAACCCGTTAGCTTAGGATTTCGTAAAATGATAATAACTTACTAAGCGCTGCGTACTTGTCATCGTCCCAAAAGGCAAAGTGTTGCTCGATCGTTTGATGCCGGTGAAATGGAGTAGCGTGGCGAGTGCTGCGCGCAAGCTCATTTGATGATGAAAAAATGTGTTCACAGCCTTCTCCCTCGGTGTGGCCAGTACCTTCTATGTACATCGGATGCCAGTCAATTTGACACCGTCGGTTGTGAGCATGGCCATGGAAAGCTCCGACCATCAGTCGTAAATTGAGTTCACGAGCTCGGGGTCCAAGGCAGCTATTTTCCAGTGTCTTGGAAAATGCGCATCCAATATCGTATGCAACGCCACCATTCTTCCCGTAGACATTGAGCAGATGATCTAAAATAGCGAGCGGGTATTTTGAGCTTGAAAAATCAGTCAGCGATGATGATGACAAAATCAAAATCAAAATTACATACAGTTCGCCACTTTTGACCATATCACACACTAAAAGAATGAACCGGTGGCGACAGGCCGCAATAAAAATGCCAGATTCATCGAAAACTGAAAACATGCGTTTACGTGCTTCCGGACCAGCATTTCGCCAGCGGTCAACGCAGTTGAATGGTGCCGAGTCGGACTGTACCACATCCTCCCAGTCATCAGTGGGATCTTGCTGATCAGAAATTAGGTTTGTATATTTCATATCAATTGAAAACTTACTTCATGAGGTTGAGCGCCATTAAGTTGGAATTGGTCAACGTTCGCAGCGATGGAGCCAGTAGTCAGAACGTCGAGTCCGCGAATCATCCCTTGGAGATGTGCCGTAAATAGAAGACGACCATCTTTTCAAGCTATTGTTACCGTCGATGGTGGCAAGCCACTCAAAAGTCATGTTGTCTTCGTCATCTAGTTTGTAACAGCAACAGGGACACGAGTTGAGAAGGCGCCAATCTTGTGTATCGCGCTTCAGTGCTGCTTTGATGAGGGAGTCTACCCGATGCAAGATCTCAAGGTAAACATCATATGCGTCCGAGAATTGCGTATTTAGATATGGTTGGTAAGGGATCTATGAAGCAACATTGTAATTGATATATCACAATACAATTGAATATCGTACATCATGGAGGTGGCATAGGGCCTTGCACTGCGCTTGAACACTGAACCGGGGGCAAGTCCTGTGAGACTGTCGATAAGCCGCAAGCGTGCGGAGAGAAATGGCGACAGTCGGGTGCAGCGGAGAACAGCCAAGGTAACCATGATATATAAGGCTTTCATTCGGAAACCTGTGGGAGGCAAGGGGTTGCAGCGATGCGAATTTTCGGCCTAGAATACTGTTGAGCAAAGTTTTCTGACCGGAAAGAAAAATATTGCTTACTAAAAATGTCGACCAGCTCGATATTCTGCAGGATCAGAGTGTCAGCATCATCACGTAGAGTGTCATCATCGCTCAAAACACTTGGCATGCCGTCACCATTATCTCGCATGCGATAGTCCAGATAAGCCCTGACCAGGCCTTCCATCTGAAGATCCCAGTTTGCATTCTGAACATTAATGCGGTCCCCACGTGTACGTGGATCAACGTAGTGGCTAGCACGCGTAAGCGCATGCTAGTGGGCATGAAATCAAATAACTTACAATCCAGAGAGGTCTGCCATCTGCTGAGCTAGCCCCTGGAACACCTCGTACTCTCCGCCCTCGTGGCTAAACTCGGCTCCCTCCTCGCCCGGGGGAGCAGTGTATGGTATAGACTCAATATCCGTGTCATAATCGATGAGCATAGTCTCGACAGCCGCACGATCTTCAGCTGACATCTCTGCGGAAATGAGAAGACAAACATCTAAGAAAAATGGACACCATACCTTGTATACATGATTGCCGCTTGGCATTCACATGTTCCCTTCGTCGGGTTTGTTGTCCTGCCTTCAGTACATCAATCGTTCGCACAGAGCGTCGAAAACCATGTTTTATGGTTGCCTTCGACAGCCCTGTGATCCTCCTCGCTGATGGTCGCGACATGGGTGGTTAGAGTGTGTAGATAGCGTGATTGACAAGGTGAGGGTAGTGTAGAAAGCGTGTTGAGAGATGAGGGTGGTGTCCAGAGCCGTTGCGCTTGGTCCAGCAGGCAGATCCACGTAGGAGGTGGTGAAAGACGCTGTTGGGGGCGCAGGAAGCCTGTGTCGATGGCTAGAACGGGTGGTAGGCGACGTTGGTGGTGGTGGATAAGGGCAAAGAGCACGCGAGAAAAGACTCACCTAGGCGGTGTCCAGAGCCGTTGTACTTGGTCCAACGGACAGATCCACGTAAGATGGTGGTGAACGACGCTGTTGGGGGCGCAGGAAGCCCGCGTCGATGGCTAGAACAGGTGGTAGACGACGTTGGCGGTGATGGAGAAGGGCAAGGGGCGTGAGAAAAGAGTCTCACCTAGTTTGGAAGCTTAGCGCATGGCGGGGCACGTCGGGATGACGCATTAGGCGTAAATAGGCGGCAGACAGTGCCGACAGTGCCGAGCTACTTACCTACGCCAAATACCCAAAGGTCCTGGGTTATTTGGGACAGCATTTAATGCTGGTGTTGAGGATTGCTGCAACTAAGCCTAACAATAGTAAGCACAGCACGTAACAAACCACTATAGTAAGGCTTACTTAATGGGAAGCCCAGGTGACCTATTTGGTGTGACTGTCACACCAATTTTTTGGGGGCCGAAGCTAATTTGTGACACGTGGTAAAAACATACAGAAAAACATATGAAAAACATACAAAAAAACATATAAAAAACAACAATGCCTAGCTAGATTCTACCTATTACTTCTCAACTTTACAATAAGATATGAATCACACAAGAAGCCTTGACAAGTACATTGGTACAATTGTGGTACAAGGTGCAGCAATCACAATTTGCGAAGCTATTTTCTATGTGGTCACAGGTCACAGGGTAATTCACCTGGGTTGCCCAATAAGTAAGGCTTATAATACTGGACGATCACGCGCCTCGCCTAGGCTTATAATAGTTAATTCCATTAAATCCCAACACCGGCAATAAACACTACCCTAAATACTGTGATACCTTAGACATAAGTACCGCTGGAGGTGTATATCAACACCAGCATTAAATATCGCCCTAAATAATGGCCTGTATACTATGTATCGACACCGGCATTAAATACTGAATAAACCTAATATTTTGTAATGACCGGGAGATTCCGATAACTGTATTAACGACCGGGAGATTCCGACGACTGTATTATCATTATCTAAGGTATTCCTATCCTTGATATTCCCACGTGTCCTCCTCCTCAACGTTGACGTTGAGCTCGCCTACCTCGAGCTTTCTTTCCCACACGTCCTCCGCCTCAACGTTGACGTTGAGCTCGCCAACCTCGAGCTCTCTTTCACGCACGTCCTCCTCCTCAACGCTATACCCACGTGCCCTGCCTGCCTGTTTGTTCTTCACTACACGAGCCTCGCACATGGCCTCCCGTGGCGCCTCTTCAAAGAAAGTCTCAGGACTGTCACGCGCTGCCATCAAACATCGCTATCATGGCTCAACCCGGCTGTCTGGAGTGTTGACGGCAGGCAAACAAAGCCAGCGCAAGGAGGAGGCGACTATGAAAAGACAGATGCAATTGCAAGGTACTTTTTTCAACTAAAAGTTCTATCTAGCTCATTCAGATTACAGAAATGTCGACTGAGGATCGGAATGCAGTTGCGATGATGATATCTGACAATGGTGTTCATTTCGATTCCGACTTTCCAGCGCCGCCAGGGGAAGAAGGAATGGATCTCAGCTACGAGGGTGGTGAGCATGAGGAATTCGCTGATCTATCACAACAAGTGGCATTGTTATCAGGATGGTGCGTACTGTTGTTTCATGCTGCTTTCACTCATCAACCTCCTGTAGTCGCTATGTGGACCCTCGAACCCGTCATGATCGCATCGAGATCTCAACCGGAAATTGGAATAATCAACTCGACGTCCTTGTTGACACATATTTGGATTATCGTGCTCGCGATGAAGGTAATGGCATGCCGAGTATTCCAGACCCTGTCGTGATGTCTGATGGACGTAATTGTCTCTCGCTTGCTGACATTGAACTAGTTGATATATTTGGTGCGTGCCGCTAATTTCATCAATCAGCGTCTCAATCATATGATCAATAGGTCGACAGAGAACAACATTACAGCCACGACCATCGCACATGTATCCGAACGAAACCTTGATTTATCACGGTTATCTAGGCTGCTCTCCTCTGTACCCATCGGTTGCCATCTCCCTCCGCACTCTGGCAGCATACCGCCAGTCTCACCGAACCTGCCCACGATTTAGCATTCAAGCCCAATGCAAAACACTCTGCCACCTTCATGATGTACGTTTTCTCATTATCATCAATACGAAGTGGTCTCATACTGCCCATAGGTGCCTTATCGCCCATATTTAAACACCCAGTTCTCTGCTGCTTACGACGTCTACCTCGAGATTCTATATCGTGTAAAGCGTCGCCTAGACGAAGCTCTCGGCCGAACAGCCCCAAACTGGCGACTTCAGAATGCATGTCCCTGTTGCTTCTATAAATTGGAAGGCGAGCGCCCACTTGCGTTTGATTGGCTCGCAACTGTAGATGGCAACAACAGCCTCAAAAGATGGGCGTCATCAACTTACGGAACAGCCGCACGGGAAGACTCAAGGCAGCCACGTTCGGATTACTGGGTTGACCGAATAGCCGTCGATAAATTTCAGCATGATGTGAGGGCGCCAACAGTACGTAATTTCTATGTCGTACTGTACAACACTGCCATAATACTATAGTCTGGAACCTTGAACCGTGCAAGGCTTGATGACTGGGAGGATGTTGGGCACGAGACCCAAGGTTCCGAATTTAACTGCACGGACAGGTGGAGGAACGCTGGCCCAGACCAACATAAAAAAATGTTTGCAGTGTTTGAGGAATCAGGCATCTTTATTGCGGCGTGTCGGCACCGCTTCGTCCTTCTCGCTTGCGATATGGTACGAAGCGGTGAATTGTGAGTGTATTTTTCTTGTCGTTGTATGGCACTCACCGTATCTACCAGGGCAAAGTACCCATTAGCTCTGCTCGATCGCCTGATGTCGGTCTTGGGGGAAAAGGGGGGCTGCGCATATGACATTGGATGTGTGTTTGCCAAGACAATGGCAAACAGCAGTTTGGGACGACGTGCACATGCCCTCAACCTGCGAATGATGGTGGGTGCGTTCCACGGCCACGCTCATAACCGGCGGTGCCAGTTAGACTGGCACCCCATGTATATTGATGGGACAGGTCATACGGAAGGTGAGGGGTGTGAGCATGTGTTCTCAGCCTCGAACGAACTTGCGCGGAGTACTAGGCATGCGTCCGTATTCCACCGCCACCAGACCATTGAAGAACACTTCGCATTCTGGGACGCGGATAAATATGCCGCATTAAGTATGGTGTTCCTTTCGAACCGAACAGTAACTAATTTCTACATTTCAAGGCAATTTCTTACGGAATCATTATCGAGAAGCACTAACTTCGATCCACACCCTTACAGCTGAACTTTCGGTCCTGACAGACAATCTTGGCTTGACGGATGCTGATTTCATTCGATTTCACTCTGAAGAACAATTATATCTGGACAGCCTCAAGACTCCACCTCCAAAAGAACTCCTTCAGATCCGCTACGTCGAAGTCCTCGACGAATTAGCGGAGCGACGGTGAGTATTATGCTGATCATTTTCATCGATTTTATCTGACTCAGTCACCCAAGCTCGGATTGGGAATTAGCCCGAGAAGCCGGCAATCAGGCGTTAACGACAATTCCAGTTGGCGACCTTAACCAGATTTCGGCTGCTCTTTCTCAGGCTAGAATTCGCGTTGACTCTGCATATGCCAAACTACAGAATGCGGAAGCACTTACCGCTCATGTGGAGATGCAACTTCAAGTTGAAGAACGGTGGGCGATCGGGGATGATACTTACAATAAGTACAAGCAAGAAACATCCCTGCGCCGATATCGTGTTGCATTAGATGAACTTGAGCGTTTAGTTGTCATGCGCTTGTTCGAACTTTCAAAGCTTTCGCTTTCAGGCACAGGTATGGACTCAATTGATTGCTATTTGTTCTTGATTCTAATACTTGCAAGGCTACAAATTACGTCATCAACTCGGAAAGGCTTTGCAACGACGCTCTGAAGCAATTCGAAATGCACTGAGCCGTTACAACGTACAAGCAGCTGCACTATCTCCCCCACGTCCGTCTTTGTCTTGGAAAGACATCACAGAATATACCTTCCTGGGCGAGTTCGATTTACTCCGCCAGTCTCGCGCTGATATTCGTGAACTAGACTGGGCAAAGCCTGCTCATCGGGAGGCGACTGTCAAATATTTTAAGCTGCGCCGTGCGCACGAGGAGATTGAGCGTCTCAATGTAGAGGTTAGGCGCCTTCGCACATCAATTCATGATGAGGAAGCAAAAACAACCGCCGTCATTAACGAGCTTTTCGTCTCTAATCCTCTGCTAAGTCTTGAGCTACAAAGGCAATGGAAATCACGGACTGGTGTCAATGCCATACATGCCTTCCGGCTGGATCAAATTGAACTTCAACAAGGTTTTTCAGGTACTCGAGGTATCGGTGTCAAGATTGGCGCTATCATCAACGAGCCCCATTCTGTCCCAGAACGGGCTAGAAGTCACCTGAAAGGTATGTTCTATATGTTTTCTTCGTAATTTTACATCTACTAAGTCACAACTTACACAGAAGCTGAAGCAGCTCGTGATATAATCTCTTCTGAGTATGGTGATGAGGATGTGCTGGAGCATGAGGAACAACTGCAAGTTATGCAGGATGTCGCTGATTTCATAGCGTCTATTGTTGATTGACGACTTTCTTGACCATATATTTTTGTACCGCAGAACATCTGTCCTCGAGGCGAGGGGTTAATATACAAGCATTGAATCTTATGTGGAGGTCCAGCACACGAACATCGTTCTGCATCATGCTTTAGAACATCGAGAGCGGCAGTCTGCAGATCTGCTTTAGAACATCGAGAGCGGCAGTCTGCAGATCTGCTTTAGAACATCGAGAGCGAGGTCCAGCACACGAACATCGTTCTGCATTAGAACAGTGAGAGCGGCGGTCTGGAAGCTACTCTGCTTTAGAACATCGAGAGCGGCAGTCTGAAAGTTACCCTGCTTTAGAACATCGAGAGCGGCAGTCTGAAAGTTACCCTGCTTTAGAACATCGAGAGCGGCAGTCCGAAAGCTACCCTGCTTGAACCTGAGATTTACATCTTTAGAACATCGAGAGCGGCAGACATTGAGAGCGGCAGTCTGCAGATTTGCTTTAGAACAGCGAGAGTCGACACATCAATGTTCAACGTAACGTTCACCAGTTAAATCTATGTGAAGGTCCATTGTTCTGCTTTAGAACATCGAGAGCGGCAGTCTGAAAGTTACCCTGCTTTAGAACATCGAGAGCGGCAGTCCGAAAGCTACCTGAGATTTACATGTAAGTGTGTAATTGAGGCTTACTTGCTTACATGACTGCTGTCGACACATCGATGTTCACTGGCCGTTACTTACTTTGTGGCACTACACCAATACAAGACTGACAACTCCTACATCAATGATCTAGCCTGCCATTGCATCTCACAATTAATTGCATCTACCATGTACACGCAAGGCCCACTGAGGTGCACGCTGGTATGATCATTTCTCTTTCCTCTCATCTTATCTACATGTATACTAGCGCCGGTACTTTTAATTTGGACGCCTCACAACTCACACATTCTTCGCCTTCCACACTCTTCGACACACATGTCAACCCTCAAAAATACCCCAAGCTCAGTGCTACCAGGACGAGCTGAAGCTACCAATGCGCGCAGTTCAGACTCGGATCACTTCACTGGACAGCGTTTCACACTTGCGAGTGTCGCAGCTCTTCATTCCAGTTCATTCGCGCCAGGGTACAGCAATTCGGAACGGCAGGCTGCTGCCCGTGCATTGCTTAGGCACGATTCACACCTGGATGGCACACATTATCATACAAGGAACCCCGCTGGACTTCACCCTTCATACATTGCATTCAACGAGGTGCTAACATCCCCCGATAAAAGAATGATCACACACGAGGAATTTGCAGAGGCTGCGCTCCAAGACATTTTTGATGCAGTGAGTTTGATTTCTTACTTTAGTCTGTACAGTTTTTCAAGGACGTATCCTAGGTTTGCATGCAAGACCGTCTAGATGGTGGAATCTCGCTTCTCATTCGCTGCCCTGGGTCTAACGCTACAAGCAATCTGTCGGCTGAACGTATCGCTGTGGATCTCTATGTTACACCTCGTGAGCTTCATGAGGTCCATGAACGAATCGGAGGGGATGTATCAGTCCTGGTGCAAGCATTTTGCGAGGAGTTCGCAATACCCCATCTTCGACGCTTTACGGAGCGCTGCCGTATTGAGGGCGTTCAAGCTCCTCATCGCTGTCAGTTTGCATTTCTAATTTTTCACCTTATCATACTAACTTGATTTGTACATAGATCCGGCTGCTCAAGTCAACCCAACTGGCTCTCAAGTTTTACCAGCCCCCCTTGTTCCCACCGGCTCTCGTATTCAATGTTCTGCGCGCCCTTCAAAAGCTTTAAGCTACGACTTTGAGACTCAGTCTACTACCAAGTCAAAGGAGAGTTCCGGCGCTCACCAGCAGTCAGCAGCCGTTCAACATGCCATAGCGCTTGCTTCGGGCGCCCATACTGTGCCCGCCGGAAGCCCAAAGGCCCGTCGGCGTCGATATGCCAATTTGTTTTCGCTTCCGAAGAATGTCGAAGATAACACTAGCGATAGTCCGAAACAACGGACCTCGGGGTTCACGTACCCTGACCTCCCTCGTAAATTTCCTGTTGATGGCTCACCGATCATTAGCATCGGCCCACACACCGATGCAGTGCTCGATCGCTTTAAAATGGGCGATGAGGTGATTCCCAAGCTCCGCGAGCTAATGGCGACTGTACGCAGCAGCCGTTGGGAAACTGTACTTAGATCTCCGAAATGGGCCTTTACTTTTGAGCAAGCTGCCAACCTCGCGAGGGCACTCGACGCTGATCTACAGTTGCAGACATTGGATGTGAATTCCAAGGTGCGAGACCCCTCAATACAGTACACTCCGGTGGTTGCTAAATGACTCATCAGTCGGTATCAATCTTGAACAAAATTTTACAGTGGCTTATGATTGTAGTTTGCCTGTGCGCACTTTACTTCTTTGGTCTTTTATTCGCGTAGTAATTTGTCGGCCCTGTCGTGTTTGTTTGGCAAATGTAGATCACTAGCGTGTTATGCAATCCTTCTGGCGCAGCTGAATCTATCATGTGTTTGTGTTTTAAAATCTATATAAACCCCCGAGCTGATTCAGAATATCAGGCGATGAGTTCTCAGTCTTTTCTTACATCGAGCGGTGGCAAAATTCGTGTCCAACCCTTAGGACGTCGCCGTCCAAGGGTCCGCCTAAGTAAGGAAGCGCGAGCTATACTTACTGCTTCGCGTCGCGAAAAATCACACCGTTTCAAGACTGCCATCCACAATGTTTGGACCGACCTCGACGAATCTGTTAAGGCGATCGCGACCTCAAACCACAAGAGTATCCGTCGGGTACAACACGAGTTGTACATGGGTCAAAGCCTTTTGCGGCACAAGCGCGTGAAATTGAGTGCTTGGAACGCCTTTTGCTGGAAAAAGAATCAGAGTGTTGACAAGGAAAACGGTATGTATTTTTTCTCTCGGTAGTTAATTCTATTCTTATCTTATTGACGAACATTGTTTCAAGGGCCCTCCGGCAAGGCACTACTACCAGAGCTTATCAACGAGCATCGTGTGGAGTACCACGCTCTCTCCAAGGAAGAAAAAGACTCCATTCTCAAGGAGTACGAGGAACACAGGACTACAAAGACCAATGGAGTTCGTATCTCCACGAAGTCCAAGGTCAACGACGTTACTCAAACCCTCAAGGCCATTGAAAATGAGGTGCGCGTTTCTTTATTTTTGACAACATTGGCTAACAAATGTATGTAGTTAAATAGCTTAAGGTGCCGGACGGGCGCGGAGACGATACTGTATACGACACGCGGCACAACTGATCTCCCCCTTCGTGGAATTGCCTTTGCAACGGAGGGTGTCGATAATTTCATAGAGTCTGTGATGGCTGTTGATAATCAAGAGTTCGTCACCAAGATGGAAGGCTTCGCACTTCGTGGCATACGCGGTGAGTTTTTTTGTTGCTCCTTCTGATATATCACTAATTATTTGCAGGTGCCGCTAAAAACCATCAACAACGCTGTTGTGATCTTCGCGGTGAGATCCGTCAGTTAATCAACGATAAACTTCGTAAGTTACTCAGGCCCCTCGATTTTTCACATTCTCACTCATTGCTCACTCGTATTTCACAGAGCAAATTACGAAGAACCCAAAGGCAACAATGCAGTGGGTACATTATTGGCGCAATGTTGTTTCACGCTATCAGGTCATAGTTGAGGGATGGCCTGACGAGGTCCCATTCGACAACCTTAGCAAGGCGGCCAGTGGAATCACCGTGCTGGAGAACCTTAAAGAGAGATGGAGGTCTGGAGAAACTGCCTGGCGACAGCTAGACAACGAGGAGTTCCAGGAGCTCGATGAAGAGCGAAACAGCAAGCTTGGCAGTGGTGAGGTTGTCGAACACCGCCGCCGGCCTCGCTCGGATAAGGGTAAGAAACGGCGCCGCGCTATTTCTCCCAATGAGAACGTGACCACAAGGCCCCGCAAGAAGGCATACACAAGTCCTGCTACTGTCGAGGATGAGGACGACGTGGATAGTACTCCTGTCTCCTCTCACAACAACTCGACACTCGACACTGCACCTCTCAATGACATACCTGTCCCACAGGCTGGACAACCTGATCCATTTCACCCTTCGGCGTCAACGAGCGCCAATGGGCTATATTTGCCTTCGGCCTCCAGTAGTACAGGTTTCGTTGACACCCTGTTTCCTGATTTTGATTACGAACAAGCTATCGCGAGCTTGAATCAGCTTTTGGGTGGGCCTGCTTAAACTACTGAATTTCATACTCTCAGCAAACTTTGCGCTATGGAAACTTCATACTATCATTTTACTTGCACAATCCTTCACATATCCTTCTGAATAGTACAGTGTCATTTTATTTTATTGATAAGGCCATCATTGTGGTGCACGAGCGGGATACATAGTGTGATAAGGCCCTTGTTGCGGCGTGCGAGCGTGGATACATAGTATGATAAGACCATGTTCATGGCGTGCGAGCGGGATATATAGTATGATAAGGCCATCATCGTGGCGCGCGAGTGGGATACATAGTAATGAGAACCTTGAAAGAAAACATGGGCATCACAAAGCCAGCACACCAAGGGAACATGTATAGAATTAAGCGGCGTTGACTCCAAGACTTGCCCTGCAAGATATAAGGTGTTGCCAATCAGGAGGCACGCCCAGTTGTCCTTTAACACTACAGGAAGAAGGAAGAGTTGCGCTAGATAAAGTGTTAAGTACAATGGGAAAGATGCGTTCGTATGAACGTCGAAAGCATATGCCCATTCGACTGAAGAGTCTGTAGGTGGTGAGTGAGGGGGAGGTGGTACCAGCACCCGGTTGGCGAAGAACCTAGGACTGATAAGTCAACCTCACGCCTTAAAAGAGGAGTGACGAACCAAAGAAAAGTCGCACTCAGTAGGAAAGAGAGCTCGAGGTTGGCGAGCTCAACGTCAACGTTGAGGCGGAGGACGTGTGGGAAAGAGAGCTCGAGGTAGGCGAGCTCAACGTCAAACGTTGAGGAGGAGGACGTGTGGGAAGAGTGCTCGACGTTGGCGAGCTCAACGTCAACGTTGAGGAGGAGGACACGTGGGAATATCAAGGATAGGAATACCTTAGATAATGATAATACAGTCGTCGGAATCTCCCGGTCGTTAATACAGTTATCGGAATCTCCCGGTCATTACAAATATTAGGTTTATTCAGTATTTAATGCCGGTGTCGATACATAGTATACAGGCCATTATTTAGGGCGATATTTAATGCTGGTGTTGATATACACCTCCAGCGGTACTTATGTCTAAGGTATCACAGTATTTAGGGTAGTGTTTATTGCCGGTGTTGGGATTTAATGGAATTAACTATTATAAGCCTAGGCGAGGCGCGTGATCGTCCAGTATTATAAGCCTTACTTATTGGGCAACCCAGGTGGGGTAATTCGAAGCTGTGACACTAAGTGTGACTTTGTCACTAGCTGCACGTGACGAAGCTAGTGTCGTATCTCTACAGTACTGTTGAGTTTGGGCGTGCACTAATAATACAATCCCTTACCCGACTTAGAGAGTGCATGCGACGATTGCAAATCCGCGCGAAGGGTTCCCCAAAATGTGAGTGTATGAACGTTATTCAAGTATCATGTTCCATCAGACTGAGGCGGTGTCCGCTATGCACATCTAGCGACGACTTAGCGGGGTTGTTCTTTCGTTCAAACTTGTCTAATTCTTGTCATTTGCTGGCACTCAGCAGCCACTCGTATGCACTTTGCTGGACAGAAATGTCAAGCGTCGTTCTTGCTCCGAATGTCTCTTTCATGGCATAGAGCGATGATTACGTTTATCACACGTTTCTGTGGTTAGATTCTGAAGCTTCAAAATTAGTTGTGACCAGGCTGAACAAATTGTCCAGCTCAAAGCAAGCTTTACGCAGTGTTTCAAGTAATTCCACGCATGTGATATTTATACAGCAGGGATAGAATACGAAATGAACAACCGCGAGTTGGGGGTGGGTGACCTGCGCTACTACGATAGTTCTGCTCAAAGGGGTGATATTTGTCCACTCACTTATCCAGACGAGAGTCAGTTGCTTTGATCATCCTAGCAGTTGCTGAGACTTACTGCAGTAGAATTGCGAATGGCAGCAAGTTGACTGTCTTTCCAATTGACAGCGACGCTGTCATATATCTCACCCCAGTCTCTGCAGACGTGTGTGGCACCAACACGGTGTTGTTCGAAGTCTCGTGTGGTAAAATCTCCTGCCTCTAGTGTGAGATCTGCTTGGCAAAGTATCCATTGTCTCAGATAATTAAGACAGTGGTGGGTATGCTCTTCATCATTATGACCAACGAGAGCCGTTTGGAAGAGTCTGAGACAGTGAAGCTGATGGAACATGGCGACGAAGAAAGCTCGGTTCTCTGGACCCAGCGCTACGTGTCCAGTTCCCGGGGGAGAAGTGGAAAGCCATTCGGTCTTCGACTCTGGGCGATCTAGCGCAAATCGCACACTTTCCTCCACCACAAGTCTCACTTTGCCCACGTCAGGCACCAGGGACTCAGGAAAGTCATCGCCCATAAATGCTAGAAGCCTGACTTCAAGCTATTTCTAATCTTGGACAAAAAGAACACTGACTGAAGTTTTTATTCCACCCTAGAGTGCGTGTTTTCGAGAGCAAATACTGGGAGTTCTCCCTTGAGAATGTTGCCTTGAGTATGATGCTAGTAAGCGCGATAGATACAATAGCGAGGGATGCCATCATAACCAGGTGGATATAACGTTCAAGTCGATTGTTGAGCATGGTTCGAATCAGTGGATGCCGCTGGACGGAACTGATATCACGGATTCAATTAGAAGAACAGTGCTTGGAAATATTATAAGGACATTCGGGTCGCAGCAAGCAAACTTCATGTGAATAGATTCGAGCATCATGTTTGGCCTTAGGGGTATTTTGGGATAGGCCAGCATGCTAGGCTTGGTAGCGATCAAAATCTGCAGCAGGGCTGAGCAATGCAGGGTTGATGCAGATTTCATGGTGTGCAGCCACGTGGCGAAGAACTTGAAATTGTGCGTGTGATTCATTCCATGAGCTCATGGCGCCCGAGTTAGTTTCAGTAGCGCAGTCAGCCAAACTCGGTTTATCGTTTAGCATAGTCGGATCTCAGATCTACGCAGCGCATTAGAGATCAGTACAAAAGCATCAGAACGCGAGCTCCGGCCTAGAAACGTATGAGATGCTATCAGTCTCAGTCTACTGTAGTACAATAATACGTACGTAGAAGGCAGTCAGGAATCGGAATCGCGCTAGCATAGCATATCTTAGATACGGTGGGGCCGGGTGGGCGCAGGCATGGTGTGTGCACTGGGACTCGGATATCTTGACGTCGACCTCGGGCTTTGTGCACCTGCGTGTGTCTCATACCGGTGCGGTTTTTGCATGCCACCGTAATATCTAGATGGAGATGGAACCCGGGAGGGAGCTCGAGTGAGATGGACTGCACAAAGTTCAATCTCTCTACTGGGAATTTCAAAATTCACACGCTCGGTTCGAAGCAAATTTTCTTTGAGCAACTTGAATGAATGTACTCCAATATTATGCATATCAGAGTAATTAGATGGCGGACGCGTGTGCTCTTCAAGGGGACATGCATGTACACCATGTATATGCGAGCCCTTCAACAGACTTGTCCCCTCGGGTGTTCCTGTTTGTGTATTCTCTGGGCGCAACTCTTTTTCCCTAGTGGGTATCGCCCTGTGCAGTTTCTTGGCACGTCGATCCGCCTCCTTAGTGTTGGCAGTTCATGTCTAGAGGGAGAGTCTGGTGTCACATGTCACAGGGGGTCCTCATAACTCTTCTCGTTAGAGTCCCTCGTCTCGCTAGCTAGGTACGCTGTGACCGGTCCTGACTTATTCTTAGGTTCCTTGCTGCCTGCGTCATCGAAACAAAGCGAGCACAATTTGATTTTACTTTCCTCCGCCGTGGAAAGCACACCGGTAATGTATATACTTGACGACCCATGCATGATCTACTGCATTACACAACACACCCAGCCTACGGCGCAACTTCCTTACTTTCAATTCCCGCTTTTGCCAATAAGTCCGAACTCTTCCCCGCCCGCCCCTCCGATTTATCATTCCTAAGTAGAAAGATCATTGTGGGCGAAGAGAATCGCAGCCTCAGTTGGATCCTCCTCAGCTCCAATGACGGCATAAGCGCCTGAATTATACATTCAATACAAAAATGACGACCTCAATTCCGCTACACTTACCTCCTCCTGCCGCATGACGGGTCGAGAGTGGTGCAGCGATTATATAGACAGCAAATGCTGAGAGGACGATAATGATCTTAGCGATCATGTTAGAACGACAATGTGGGATATAGTGCAGCAAATGAAGGTATGAACCACGGATTTATATTCATGCGGGTCTATTCAATGAGTTATTCTAGTCCTTGATATTCATCCATGAGGCCAACTTACCTGTGTGTACGCTGCGCAAGATGACAGAACACCGGTCCCCAGCACCCGCTGTTTCGAGCTAGTCTTCCCTGGATCTCACAAACCATTTACGACACTCTGATACCAGAAGGAGGTCGATTTGTCTATTTCACCTGCTAAATTGGTAGCGAGCAGTGCCAGTATTAATGGGTGTTTCAAACAATTCTTCATCACCTCGCTTATACCTCCGAGACACTGCTTTTTTGTTGTTCCGATTAATGACCACTTCTACAAAACCATCAGCGTGAGGGGGTAATTTGATCGCCACACGCGCGCAGTGTGAAATACGCCCTTCACCCTGGCCAATATTATCATGCACTCTAAGATTGTTATTTGTTTGAGCGGGAGTTTTAAGGGGAGCATACTAAGAGTCGTTCCGACTTTGAGAACTAGTACGTGTCAGAGTAAGAGTAACTGTGAAGTTGAAATGTTTGGAGTGTAAGAGACCATGCAAGCAACATAGGTCGAAGGCTAAATGGTTGCCACCATCACTATCTACAGTAACAGTTGCTTCAAGATGGACGTCTACCACATCAGGGATTCTTCCTGATCATACTACTGCTGCCAGAGGATGAGTCGTGGTGGAGATGCAAGGTCGTTTGGGTGATGCGAGAGCCTGTGTCGCTCGACCACGCAACTCCTGAAGCGACTCTTAAAATGATGAGGTGGGGTGTCAAAACCTAGCAAATTGTCAATTAGTGCATCTCAGTGTAGTAATACATATGAACGCACTACCAAGGCTCCCCAGGCCATTCCTACCGCTGTCGCACTTGAAAGGCCTTTGATATAGGTGACGAGGTAGGCAATTCCGAGAACTGTGAAAGGGAGAGCAGACTCCACCAGAATTGCCACAAGACCCGTGTAAGTACTCCTCTGTTCATCTGTAAGGACAGATCGTACTGTGCGATGGAAGAATAGCAGCCTGGAAATGATCAATGCAGTCACAATGACGTTAAAGCTGACAGTCAACGCGACCCATGATATGCCAAATTGTGCGGCAAGTCCCTGCCATATATTTGACATTGGCATGGCGCTCTCAATCACCATCATAACCGTCATAGCTGTATGGAACAATGGTTAGTTTAGTATAGAGTAAATAACGCAGCACGCACTAGCAGATGCCAAGTATATAATTGCAGGAATGACAATTATTTGCAGCCTTGAGCCCCAAATGATGTAACAACGATAAAGCTTCCGCAATGTATCAACATCAGTGCGTAATAACTATGTATGTTGTATACTCACCATAAGGCCGTCTGTCAGAATATTTGCGGCAGAGTCTGTCGCTGTTCCAAATACATTGTACCAATCGGCCAAGTTGGCAGCAAAGAATGCAGAGGGGCCACCAGGGTCGTTTCGCTTTTCTATCCACATTAATTCGCAGAAGGCGGCATTAGCTGCGCCGCTGACTGTCAAAAGGATCACTTGAAGGCCTCCAAAACTTATGTAGAATAGCCTGCGCGGCATTGGCTGCTTTGAGGCCATAATAAGGTAGGTAGAATAGGCATATAGAAATAGGATTCCTCCTGTGCCCGGAGGACGGGCTGTCAACAAGAGATCACTACTCATAGGGATAGAACTCACCATAAATGACGTAGCCAATGGTATTCCCAATATACAGAGCACGCTCCGTAGCTAGTTCGGTGGACGCCATGGGGGACTCAGAGAAGGGTGCTGTAGGATGGATTGGAGGACTATCAGCACGAAGCCCACCTTGTGAGTTTAATACCAGCAATATTACTGATAAGACTTATGGCAGGGGATATATCGCCGACCCAGGGCTAACGGCAAGTCCACCCAATGATGATCGATATCGATCAACAACAACACATATCCGGTTAATAGAGACGCATTGGATCACAGCGACTCGTGCTACACACGAATTCGAATTGTGGAACAAGCTTGCGCAGCAGACTTAAAATAGTCGCCAAATGCTCACCGCACATACAAATCCTGCTTCTCATAGTCGGGATCTTGATACGATCAATCAGCGCTCAGCGCTAGTGATGGGCGATGCTGCTGCACAATCAAAGACGCAAAAATGTGGGCGAATGCAGTAAGCTTGCGTCGCAGATTGACTTGAAAATAGTCACTGGATACTCGACGCACGTACAAAATCGGCTAGTCTCGGAATCATGGTCAGTGATCAATCAGCGCTCAGCGGCGGGCGGCACTAGTCTGCAAAGACCGAACTGTTAGATGAAGGCAGACAGGATCCGGAGTTATAATAAAAATACCAATTTGAACTTGCGCTGCCAAATAAGAACAAACGAGTCGCAGTGATTACATAAGTTCCGTATAACCGTAGGTTCAAACGTTCAAACGTTCACGTTGTAACCCTGCGTAATGGTGCAATTTGATCAGCGAAGGCCCAAGGGCCGGGCGAATACCCTCACATATGTCACTTATGACACCAAGACAGAAAATATGAGAAGTAGATGAGTATCCTCATTAAACATAGTACCGGCTGAACAATCTACTTCACAAAGACGAATCTAGTAGACAACGATGACAACTAAGAAGATTGCGAAACTCGGGCACCGAACCACCTTGTCCCTCTGTTTTTGAGACTAAGTTCGAAGTCTGCCTCTCAAGAGTAAGGACGCTCATACCTCTATCACCGCATTTTGACAGCTGCAGCCTGGTTCTTCTTCACTTCCTCCAGCACCGAATTCCAATTGCTACACACATATGACCCAGTCCGCACAAAAAAATCTTGGGATGGATGTTCTTTGCTTGCTACAAGTATGTTTTCCAGCTGAGTGTCGCCGCGGCACATCACCATCTGGCGCAAGTAGTTGAGGCAGTGACGGCTCAGATCTGCTTTGCCATTTGCTCCGACAAGATCTTCTCGTAGTATATCGAGGCAACGCAATTGGTGGAACATCGAGATCGAGAATGGGCGATTATGCTGCTCCCCCAGATAAACAAGCCCACCACCCGGTGTTAGGCTGGCCCACTCCGCCCTCCCGTCTTCAGTGTTGATCTCATAATGTACTGAGTCTTCGAAGGCCATTAGGACTGGACTAGTCTGGGGGAGGGGCAATAATTGAGGAAAATCGTCGCCGTCAAACGCTGTGATGAAAAGGCGAGTCCGTGATTCACATTTGTGTTCTGCTGTAAACTCTCCGCTTACAATATACTTTGTGGACCGGTTTTTCATTCACCTGAAGGCTGCAGAAAAAGAGTATCATGCTGATTTTAATGATAATCAAGATAGTGACAATCTGAAGCTGGATTCTCGAGTTGTTATGCATCGTTGCGTCCTGACAAACAAGTCCTCAGCTTACTTCTTGCTTTATCTATTGTCACAGACATACTTGCAAGGCTATTCGCTTGCATTTCCTTGTTCTGGTTTGGATGCAAGATTTATTTAAAATATTTCATCATTGATCAGTTATTGGCAGTGTTCGCAATATTTACGGTCTATCTATGTGAGTCTATGTGTCATCTCATCTCATGATTCAACTCTGCCATGCTGCGGAATCAGATTTGACGTAAAGTCGTCCACACCGATCACGGCGGCACTGCCTAGTATTATGGAGTGCAGAAGACATTTGGAGTACAGAAAGGACGTCCAGCCCGGAAGGAGGGAAGGCCAGTCAGAAAGAAATCGGTGACAAGAAAGAGACGAGGGTGAAAGGAGAAAAACTTTGTTGCTCACCAACACAACCGATGTTAGGCTTTACTACATTCTGGAAATAAGAGGTACGAACATGACCCTGGTTTACCAACGGAGCGCAACATCGCCATTTTCTGAGTTAGTATGAAGATTGCGAGAATGCAAATGCAAAAGCGCAGGAGTTCAAGTAAGAGAATCGTCCGTGACTCAGATGGTGTGCTCGAAGCTCAAGAGCACAAAGCCTGAGGAGAAGAAGGTTCTGTGCTTAAACCAACATCATCCAGTATTTCGAAAGTGGTCGCTTTCGATTCAGAGCACATAGACAGCCATGATCGTATAATGAGGTTCACGTCGTGAGTGATTCGTTGGACGGCACGATGCGCAAGTGGGATTGCGACACGGCATTTCTTGATGGATAGCCATGGACAGGCGAGGGCGGAAGGATATGGGCAATGGCACTTTCGCTGGACGGAAAGAAAACTGTGTGCGGGAGGGAAGATGGAGTCACCGCAAGCGTTCAGCGATGGAAGACCGACGGATAGATCATAGTTGAAACGTGCGGTCACTGTCGTGGTTCCCCAGTGGGAGAACAACCCTCGTTTGAAAAGCAGAAACCAGAGAAATCGAGGTGGGCCCAATAGCATCAGGCGGAGTCAAACGATCTGCATTTGGAACGCCAAGATAGGCGAGCTCGTTGTCGGTCCCATCGAAGACTGGGGGAATACTGTGTGGTCGTCGGCCAACACGAAACTTTACTCTACCTTGAACAAATTCGCACGTTGTTTTCGACAAAGTAACTCAGGCACAGAACTCCATCGCTTCAAAGTCCAAACACAAGAATTTGGTGAATTCCGTCGCACTTTCACCCAAACATAGTATACTGGCGTGCGTGGGCTATTGTGGTACTGCAAAGTTACAGTGGGACACAGAGCCCCGTAACCGACCCAGACAGCCATTAAGCCAGGAGGATTGCAAAACCCTTTCGTGCACCATTCTCTCGGGATGGAAGATATAGCGCATATAGTGGAGACGACAGCAACATCACTTTGTGGATGGTCAAAGATATAGCTCCTTGCTTCAAGGTGACAACCTACACAGCAGAGCACTTCACCAAGTCGCCGCCGCCGTCTTGCCTTGACGTCAGTACTCTCGCGTTCGACTGCTTTCCATCCTTTTCTCACAGAGCTATCACAGGTTGACGCTACAAATCCTCTCACAGAAGATTTAGAGAGAGGGGGAGAAGATCCATACAGCGACTTTTTTCAGGTAAGCCTCGTTTCGTCATGCGAAGTGTACCATTGATGATAAACATTCAAAGTCTTATCATACTTCGGCACAGTCTGGTCCCTCTCCTCGTTCCCAGCGTCCTCAGGCTTCCTCCACTCGCCGCCTTTGGAACTTCTTCATCCCCTCTCGATGTCGCCCTGCAGCAAGGGGGTCCATTGCGATGCAACAACACCCCAAACGCAAGCTCTTTGCACGACACACTGGCCCGCAGCCCGTAACAACCTCTTCCGGAAGAAAAAAAGGTAAGCAGTGTATTAGGTGTTCCTCGTTATGTTATATTTATACACCACCCAATCTTCGGAGAGTCTACGTGGCGCCTCCCCCTTAGAAGACTAACTCGAAAGCTCAGACTGGTCAGTCGCCCTCAGCAGTAGCTCAGCCTGCATCGCAGCCACATTCGACCCCTCAGCCTCAGCCTCAGGCACAGACGGCGGCACAACAACCTACTCAAGAAGAAACTATGGTTCTTGATGCAATTTTTGCCTCGCACTTTGGTGTATCCCACGCTGAACTCGTCCCGCTGTCTCTGCTGCTCAGCCTGCTGCCCAGTGATATAATTCTTCTCCAGCAGTCGAGGACTCGTGGACCTTCAACGGTCTGTCTTCTCTCCTCTCGAACAGACCGCGTACCTGGGCTAATTGGCAATGCGGGCGACGCAAAGTGCCGCTACCTCTACCAATGCGCTCGGACTTACATCCAGGAATCACATCTGAATTTCTGGAGATCGGTCGAGAACTTTATCGAGTTCGTGCTCACGCACCCGAACGGTTGGGAAGGTCAACAACAGGTAACAGGTTAGACGCGCTGTCGAGATCGCTGGTCACATATCATCTAAGGAGGAGCAATCTCACGTGCACCTCTTGACTGATGGTGATGTAAGTCTTCATTTCTGTTTTACCAGCATGATTGCGTCGCATATTTTCTCTAAAAACCTTATAGAGGTGTCAGATTACTCGGACGATGAGGAAGATCAATCTGACAGCCAAGGAATCATTGTTGTTGATCCCGGAGGCGGAACTACCGATCTCAGTGCCTACTCGATGAAGTTATCTCCGACTTCGTTCGAGGAGATTGCCCCAGCTGAATGTGAATTCCGCTTTCCTGCGTTATTAACGGCGTATAGCTTGTTGAAATGCTATGCTGTATCCCTCAAAACATATTCTAAATACTCCAAATAGATCAACATTTGAATGTCCAACTGCGTACAGGCTCTGGAGTGGTGAAATCTTTCTGATCAAGCCATCCACATTTTAGCACAGCAACATTCACATGACGATCCACATCGATCGTGACGATGAAACTGTCAAAGACCAAATCGGAGGCTAAAGACAAGTAGGTTCTTTAATGCTTTACTATCAGCCAATCCCACAACTCCAGCCAACTTATCGTCCTGGTTTGATCCTGTTACACCCGCCAGGTAGTAGTGATATCCACCAATCGCGTCACCCCACGACTACAAATCACCTCTCTATCTACAGCCTCTGGATGCTCAAATTCAGGCAAAGCTTTGCTGCACGATCTGGAGGCTCTGCGTTCTCGAATCTTGATCTTTAGTGGGTGTTCTGGGGGTGTTGGTGTACTATGTAGTCCTGGTAGTAACTGGCTCACGTGAGATATTGACGGTATTCCATACCAGGCTACCCTACGAACAGCAGATGAAGAAGTCGACTTCGTCCCTCCAACCGGCATCAACTGTATGATGGATTTAGTGTGGTACGTTTCGTATCGGGTTTCATTGTATTCAACGTTGAAGGTGTGTGCTGGCAGCTAGATTGAAGAACAACAAGTCAGGCTTGATGCGGTCATGAACGGTGCTTCCCATTCTTCTTTTCCCCCATGTTGCTATCTTGAGCTAGAGATGGTTCACCAGATATCAATCGTGGAATTTCAACCATGATATCTCTGGCTGTGAAAACTGATACCTGTTACCACCCCACCAACTCCACGGTGCAAATTCGAACATTCTGCGCCCATCATGACCAGCAAGTGAGAATGGCATCAAAACAAAGGTGACAAAATCACGAACAGTTCTAGATTTTCTTTCATCTTTTGCGGTGTTCAAGTTCAGCCCGTGCAAATTTGTTATGACCAACTTGTTCTACGTACGTTGAGCCCCACATCTTTAAATCATTATTTATTCGCTGATTAAGTACAGGCTGGAAACACTGGCTAGGGGTGCGGTGATCGCTGGCATCGAACCTTCAGTACCCGATCACTTTCGCATCACCGGAATTTTATTCAAGGCCCGCTACATCACTTCGAACGTGACATCATATCTATTGACAGGAACAAATATCATTCCTCGATCTCATTTTGATCATGCAAGCACTGGATGGTAGTATATCTAGCACGAATATTATCATTGTATGTCCACCAAGTTCCCCGCTCCCTCACATCCATCCTCTGACAGTATGACCCTAGTCTCAGACGACCCTAGTTATTGGCCACTCATCAACGCTTGGCGTATTAGCAGCTACTTTGTTGGTTCGTGAAGAGGAGTCAGATTTCGGCGCTGATGTCTCAATCTGACCTTGATTGTGGTTTTCCAGTTGCTGCTGGTGTTGGAGTGACGTATGATTGGGGTGAGCATAATAACATCAGAGAATTGCTGATTTCCTACAAGTATTTCCAGCCCTTACGTTAGGACAAGAGGTATGTTGATGCTATGACCACAGCAGCCATCTCGCTAAGATTTGTTTGTAGGTTGAACTGATCTGGGTGAGCACAGTTCCACGTCAGAAGAACAACATTGATTTGTGACAGAGACAATGTTGGTCCCTTATGACCGTTCTCTATCTGAGTGTACGTAGCTTGCCTGTTGTGATTTTGTGCTGACTTAACAATATCCTAGGTGCGCTATCTTGGCATTTTTTATATTGTGTATGTTCAGAAGGCTTGGCAATTGGTGTCATGCTAATCTGCTATCTCTCACAATCAGCCTGGACATACTGGGTATGTCTTCTCGCATTCACCATGTTCGTATCTTCTGACCAGTGGCATACAGGCAGTGTTCCAACGATTTTTTTGACAGATGCAGTGAGTTTTCTACACCAATGCCTGCTATTCCTATCCAATTAACCGCGACGCCCTGTAGGGGTGAGTGTCGTTCTTGACCAGCTTCTTCGTTTAATATCATGACTCTAACAGATGTGAGTCTGTTTGTAGTGTGATCCACCCAAGGCCCTTCACTAACCGGATTTCTCAGGCTGGATTCTGTACCTCATGTGGGATTGGACGAATCTTGTAGCATTTCCAGTGCTGTGGGGTGAGTTGTGCGGTCGCAAGACGTATGATATTGACTTCACCAAAACATGTTGCAGTCATCATGATCACTCGGTTACATGCCATGTATCAACGATCCAGAAGGATCCTGATATTTCTCGTCGTCGTGTCCTTGGCTGTCAACATTTTTGACGTAGTGGTCATGGCAATGATAACGAGGGATGCTTCAGGGGGTACACTTAATTGTGAATGAAAAATGTGCATGACGCTCATTGATGAATACCAGAGGAACTCATTCTCTCTGGCACCTATGTGTGCACAATTGGCTATGGGGACAATCTCTCACTTCTGAATTCCATTTCTTGGATACTCGGCACTGTCTGGGAGGTCCTCGCGCTGTGTCTTGCAGTCTGGATTGCTGTAAAACACTTCCATGAACTGCGACAACATTCAGCAGGAGGGATTATGGGCGACTGTTTCACGGTGTTAATAAAATCCCACGTGCTTTACTTTGCGAGGTGAGCTCATATTGTGAATCTGGCTCCCTTTTCCACTGAATGATTGAATGTGCTAGCTTTGTTGCCGTGTCTTGCTTCAACCTCATTATTGATTTGTCTCCAATGCTCTTAGCAGTACGGCAATCTTTCATGGACCTCTGCATGCGACCGCGGCTCATCATTTCTATAGGACCAATTTTCCCTCGAAACACAGATTTTTCTTGGTATTACTCAGATTTTGGGAGTCGTACAGTCCTTTGTGCTGGGACCACGCCTCATCCTAAGCATTCGGGAATATAATGCTCGACTCGTGGCAGACTCTGATGCAGCAACAGCCATGACCTCAATCGCTTTCCAGGAGCGCGTGCATATATCGACTGGCAGTGGCGTGTAATGCAGGAGATACTCGATGAAGTTAACGGTAGTCTGTTGCTCTGTAAGGGGCAGTGGAATTGGCCTTTTTTCTTGATTTTCAAGTTTCGTTGTGGTACTTATTTATGTGGTGGTGCAGAGTGGATTTCGATGAAGTCTTCGTAGTCCAATACCGGACTTGTACAAAGGTTTTGAGCAATGACGCTCATCTCCTGGGGTTGATGTGCGCGATAGGTTTCATCATCAGTGAATGAAACAACAGATCCCATTCCTTTGCAAGAGCTTACCATTTGATAAGAAGCTCTAACTTTGGATGCAACATTCAGGCTGTATTTGCAACTCTCTCACCTATCTCACGTAGCCTCTTGTCTTAGTGCTTCAAAGTCATGGGCCATCTCTGTCGAGGAGATGAACTAAAGCTCCACATTGCTTTCCAATTAGAATTAGACCGCATTGACATTCCTGGACCAACATGTTGCTCTTTTGTGGTCTCATTCACGCCATTTCGATGCCGTCAGGAAGGATACTTCTTCCCTTGCTACCGATGCTTTTGATGGTTCGTCATAGTGCTTTGACCACCGCTGTGTGACTAATGGAGCAAGGTCGTGTAGTATTCTGGCCCGAAGTGACACCCTTCCGCGTACCACTCGATGAACTTTTCGTACCGGGTAACACTGGCGCAACATCAACGGAAGAGTTCAAACAATTGAGCTTTGGCATTTGTAACGTGTTCAATCATTCTACTGAAGACCAGTCCCCGCACATCCCACAATTGACCATAGCGACAGTCGTCTCACGCATCCACATGCTTCGTCCGAATGGCTCTCTGCATTTGCTTGATTCAACTTGACATGATCCTGCATAGTCATGGCTGCGCTGGGGACTGCCGACAAACAACTTAAGCATCCCAATCTCTCAATAAATAAGTACGAGCAAACAATTTGAGCTGGTTTTCATGGACTGCTGGTGAGTTTGGGCGTGCACTACTAATGACTACTAATGCAATCCCTTATCCTTGTCTGACTTAGAGAGTGCGTGCGGCGGTTCCATATCCGCGCGAAGGGTTCCCAAAAATGTGAATGTATGGACGGTGTTCAAGTATCATGTTCCATCAGACTGAGGCGGAATCTGCTATGTACATCTAACGACGACTTAGCGGGGTTGTTCTTTCGTTCAAAACATGTTTAATTTTTGTCATTTGCTGGCACTCATCAGCCACTTGCATGCACTCTGTTGGAACAGAAATGTGAAGTGTCGTTCTCGTTCCGAATTTCTCTTTCATGGCATAGAGCGATGATTGTTAGATTCTGAGGCTTCAAAATTAGTTTTGACCAGGCTGAACAAATTGTCCAGCTCAAAACAAGCTTTACGCAGTGTTTCAAATTATTCAACGCATGTGGTGTTTACGCGGCGCGGATAAAATACAAAATGAACAACTGTGAGTTGGGGGTGGGTGACCTGCGCTACTACAATAGTTCTGCTCAAAGGGGTGATATTTGTCCACTCACTTATCCAGAAGAGAGTCAGTCGCTTTGATCATCCTAGCAGTTGCTGAGACTTACTGCAGTAGAATTGCGAATGGCAGCAAGTTGACTGTCTTTCCAATTGACAGCGACATTGTCATATATCTCACCCCAGTCTCTGCAGACGTGTGTGGCACCAATGCGGTGTTGTTCGAAGTCTCCTGTGGTAAAATCTCCTGCCTCTAGTGTGAGATCTACTTGGCAAAGTATCCATTGTCTTAGATAATTAAGACAGTGGTGGGTATGCTCTTCATCATTTCAACCAGCGAGAGCTGTTTGGAAGAGTCTGAGACAGTGAAGCTGATGGAACATGGCAACGAAGAAAGCTCAGTTCTCTGGACCCAGCGCTACATGTCCAGTTCCCGGGGGAGAGGTGGAAAGCCATTCGGTCTTCGACTCTGGGTGGTCTAGCGCAAATCGTACACTTTCCTCCACCACAAGTCTCACTTTGCCCACGTCAGGCACCAGGGACTCAGGAAAGTCATAGCCTGTAAAAGCTAAAAGCCTGACTTCAAGCCTAATTCTAGTCTTGGACAAAAAGAACACTGACTGAAGGTTTATTCCACCCTAGAGTGCGTGTTTTCGAGAGCAAATACTGGGGGTTCTCCCTTGAGGATGTTGCCTTGAGTATGGTGCTAGTAAGCGCGATAGATACAATAGCGAGGGATGTCATCATAACCAGGTGGATAGAACGTTCAAGTCGATTGTTGAGCATGGTTGAAATCAGTGGACGCCGCTGGATGGAACGGATATCACGGATTCAATTAGAAGACTAGTGCTCGGAAATATTATAAAGGCATTCGGGTCGCAGTAAGCAAACTTCATGCGACACCTGTGACTCCCACGTAAGCACTGTAGTTATAGGTGATAATGCACGTGTGTCGCACCTGTAGATCAGG